TGGAAAGTGAAGTTACATAAAGAGCTGCTTTGGTTGCCCACTAGGAAGTTGGTTCACCAAATCCTACCTTGCTACCGATTTTTAACAATGGCTCTGCAACACAAGTTTGATCCTCGGTCAGGGAGCTGCCCACATGGCGCAGCAGACCTCTCCTGACTCACCCACTGCTCCCCTCAGCAGTGTATTTCAGTAATTCTGCCTGTTCTGTTCCCAACTCTGTCTCTGGTGAATCCTCTCACCCCACACCTCTGGCCTGTACCCCAGTTCTTGCATACATAAATAAATCTTTTAAAAAATAGCTCTTTTCTGCTCCATTTAATAAACAGTGAATGTCTTGTGCATTCAAGGATTCAGAAAATTCTTTTAGAAGGTATAATTTAGGCAATGGACAAATTTGAATGCTGATATTTTATATAAAAAGCCTAATTCATTGCACAGAGCATGCAAGTCTTGTTGAGAAAGGAGTTCATATTTTTGAGATTTATGAGAAATACTGCATTATTATTATTACATGATTGCATTTGTTTCAGCTATTTACCTTTTACTCAAATAAGTCTCTCTGAAAGACCAAAATATATATTTAGAGTATATATATTTAAGTCTCTCTGTAAGACCAATATATATATCCAGCATTGGCATGAAAAAGATAATCACCTATATTATATCAAGCATTGGCATGTTTTGGAAGAACTTAACAGACTTAATTTTTGTATAGAGAATTTGGTAATACATGCCAAGAACAATTTCTGGTGGAAATTTTCTTATATTTTACTTTTTTTTTTAAGAATTTCCACTAGTTTCTTAATCATCTTTTTTTAAAGCTTTATTTATTTATTTATACAAGCAGTGGGTACAGTCAGAAGCGCGGGAGAGGGAGAGAATTCACCAGAGCCAGAGCGGGGAGCAGAGCAGGCAGAAGGACCGAAGTACACTGCTGAGGGGAGCAGCGGGCGGCAGGAGAGGTCTGCGCGCCATGTGGGACCCTTCTCCGGTGGCTGGGGAGCAGCCGGGGATTGAACTGGCACTACAGAGGCTGCAGGCAGCTTTGCAACCCAGCGCTCAACCGCTGAGCCACCAGGGAGGTCCATATTTTAATTTTTATTTGGAGAGTTGGCTTACCAGCAGACAGCTGAATATTATGCAACTAATTTTGTGGTATAGTGTTTATAATACAACTCACGTTTAAAATATGAATGCAAGTAAAATATTTAAATCCATTCTGAAACAAACTTTTAAAGGTAATTGACCAAAACAGCTTCAAAAATCTTTTAAGCAACAAAATTTGCTCACAGGTGCAGCATTTCCTTCAAGTAGTTCAGTCAAGCTAGTTATAGATTTTTCTGAAATGTTAGCCTCAGATGGAAATCCACTAGTGATCGTTTTTCAATGATTAGTTGCAGGTGTATTTGCTAGCTTAAAAAATAATATTATTTAATATATTTCTAAAGCAAATGTTCTTGTAAGCATTTTTATAAATCATGATTTATCCATCCTGTCAAAAGGGTTACTTGTCCTTGCCTTGTGGATCATTGAGGACTTCTCCAGGCACACATGGTAGGGATTGTCACTGGGGATAATTTGGGCACATCAAGGTACTATTTGCCATTTATGTCAGATGCTGCCAATTTATGGATTAAAACGAAATTTCCACACTGGGTACAGTAAAATCTTTCCTGGAAATAGTTCATATTTCCAAACCTCTTTTAATTAAAGATAGTGAAGAATTAAAAAGTAACGGTTTTCTAGGTCAAATAAATAGATATTTACAAAGTCCATGAGAGCTAAAGATCTTTGAGATAGACAATACCACAGATGATAGCTTAGGTCTTCCTGTAGAGTCAGTTTACTCTTGGATGCTACTGGCTAACATAACTGAGGTTTTCCATGCAATTTTAGTTCATTTTGGCATTTAAATTCCACAGGAAAGTTATATTTCATTTGAGTAAAAATAAAATGATGAGCATAATCCATGGCCTTCATTCAAAAGGTTACAAAATTTAATATGTGCATGATAAATAGTCATGAAATAACCACAGCAACTACAGCTGTCATTATTGAGTGACAACTAGGTGCCAAGCACTTTACTTATATTATGACTAAGACTTGCAATAACCTTAGATGGAAGGAATTGACATCCCCATTTTATGAGGGTTACTGGTAAGGGGAATTGCCTATTTACTTAGGGTTCAAACCCAGGTCATTCCAGCTTTAAATCCAGCATTCTTTCAGTGGCTATCTTCTCCTTGTAGCTGATGAGAGTAGGTCCTCAGATCCTTGACAGGGTTTAAGGATTAACTCTCAGATAAGGAAGCTTGCTATCTGTGTTGGATCTTTCACTGGTTAGATCAAGTAGAGCAAGGACTGAGTCTTCTCTAAGCCTATTATATTGTCTCAGTCACCCACCATCCATCTCTCAAATATCTATCTATCTTTGGAGATAAAAGAATCTGGATTTTCATGTATCTGGCTCAGCTGGTAATAGTTTATCTCCTGAGAAAATAGTCAAACCACCAGGGCATTTTTGAGCTCTCTATATGAGTCAGGCATGAAGATGTTTCATTTTAACACAGTAAAATAACACAGTAAAATAAAGAAAAATCTTGTCTGACCATGAAAGACACTATTTACTAGATTTGTGTACATAGAAATAAAAGCTAATTTTGAAAATAGAATTTGATTTTGATTTTCTCTACCAATCTGCACTTCCCTTTTTAGGCTCATGGGACTAGGACCAATAATGAAATGATCAATGGAAGTGGTGGGAGCATTTTAAGCAATGCTCATAAATGATTGCTTTTTGTGGGGGAGTGTAGGGACAGCAAACAGTAAAAGGAGGGTGATTATGTTGCAAGGTTCATTCCCTGTGCAAACAGCCCAGCTGGGCTACAAAGTTCAAAACACTTGCCTCCTCCCACAGTTGAAATGCAACTTACATATGACAATTAGAGGATTCTCCCCTTCTGGTCCATTTGCTAAATTCCTGGTGTAGTCATTTGGAAGCTTTCCTAAGTACGTGAAGGGGTTATTCACTATGTCACTGAATGGTTTTTAGGAACATAGGAGAGATGGGCATGCTACCTCACTCAGCATCTTGGTAAAATGGCTTTGAAGATGCTTGAAATTGTAGTTAATACTTCATTGTTTTTCTCCAATTCTACAATTAAGTGCTAACACAAATATTCATTGACATCTTACCTGTCACTTATACCTTAGTCAGAATGAGTTTCACAACAATTTACATAGGAAATAATAAATGTCAAAAAAACTTGCTAATCCATAAATTATCAGAAATACTAAATTATTTGAATGTTATACTTGAAGAATCACCTTTACCATCATAGCTAATATTTAGCAATATCTTCTCATGTGCTAGCCATTGCTTTTAAGATTTCATGACAATAAACCATGAGTTAGGTATAATTATTATCCCCATTTTGCAGATGAGAAAGATGAAGCACAGAGAGGTTACATAATTTTCCAAAAGTCACACAGCTAATAAGTGTCTAAATCAGGATTTGCATCAGGCAAGTCTAGTTCTAGAATCTGCACTGTAAATCACTTCCCTACTTAATTCCTCTCTTCAAAAGGTATGATGGTGGAATATGTGGGGAAAGGGAGGATATTTGTGGGCTCTAAATGGTCTGAGGTTATTTTTAAATGTTGTTATATAAACACCTACTATGATATACATTCAATTTTTATTTTTATTTATTTTGTAAAGATTTATTTATTTATGCATACAAGAGCTGAGGTGTAGGCCAGAGGTGGGGTGTGTGTGAGAGGATTCATCAGAGACAGAGTGGGGAGAAGAACAGGAAGATCTACTGAAATACACTGCTGAGGGGAGCAGCGGGTGAGACTGGAGAGGTCTGTTGCACCATGTGGGTCACCTCCCTGGCCGGTGATTGAACTCGAGCTGCAGTAGCTATGGATAGCTTCACAGTGCTGCGACTTACCACCTTGTGCCACCAAGGAGGCCCCCATTCAATTTTTAAAATATCAGTTCCTAACGAAATCTTCCACTTTTCTGAATTTATTCTGGACATCAGCATAATGGAAATAATCAGAATATCAACAGTACTTACTATCCTGGGACTGATAAGGTCATTTTTTTTTTTTTTTACCATTTTCATTACCAACACTATCACTGTCACCATTATCATCATTGTCATTATCCTCATGTATTGGAGGTTTACAAGATTCCAGGAATCATATTTACCATGTTACCTAAATGATCATTTTTAATTCTCAAAGCAATCTTACAGAGTGGACGTAACCATTCCCATTTTATAGATGGAAAAACAGAAGCTCAGAGACACTAAGATCATAGAACCAGAAATGATAATGCTGAAATTTGAAACTAAATCTGCCTTCAGAGTTTATGTTCTTAACCACTTCTGTATATCTAGAATACTAATACTACTTATACCACTATTAAATACCACTTACTAAATGTCCTATGTGTCAGTCTAGTGCTATGTCACTACCTCAAATTATGATGTATCGGCCAAATCTATTTAACTGCCTGTTTTGAGAATAAAGTTTTATTGGGATACAGTTATGTTCACTTGCTATGGTCTACTGCTGCTTTTATACTAAAAGGCAAAATTGGGTAGCTGCAACAGAAATCCTACAACCCAGAAAGTCAAAGATATTTATCTGACTCTTTATAGAAAAATTTGTTAACTTCTGCCTTAAACCATCTTGCAATATATATTTTATTATTCTCACCTCAAAGGTAAATATATTAGAATTCAGAGAGATTAGGTAATTTTCCCATCCAACTAGTAAAGAACAAAACCCTAGTCAAAAACTGAGGTCTGGATTATTCCAGAATCTTTATTTTCCCCTGAAACTTGAAAAGGCAACCATTTTTTAATAATTACCAGTTGCAGGAAAGATTTCTGTAATACTTGGCTAACAATATGGTTTTTAAGTATTTGATGCTGGTTTTAAGTGTTGCACATTTTCCTGTGGGAAGGACATTAAATTGCTCTTACCTTCTGAGAATTTGCTGTACTTAATTCCTTGGGGGTGGATGCTTAAGGGCTTGTCTGCTTTATTCTTAAAGTGAACTTTCATGATGTCTCCAACTTCAGCATATAAAGTAGGCCCAAGAAGTCCTACGGAAACAAAGATTCAAAACAGAGCTGTGTTTAGGACTAAAAAAGACAGCTGTTAACGGAGGAAAAGATACAGAAAACCCCCAGAGTGGTTGCTGCCATTCCTTCTGGTCCTGAAATGAACCTGCTTATCATCAGTCTAGAAGACTGCAAGCTCATTAATACTACCTTATGCACAGTGAGATAAGGACAGGGGAGTAGAACCTTTTGCTTAGGCCCAAAGCCGATTGAGAATAGAAGAAATACTTCTGGCCATGTCCATCCCACTCTGACCTACTGTCATTCCTTAGAGACTACTGTCCTTGTTCAAAAAAAAAAAGGGGGGGGGCTCCCTGGTGGCACAAGCGGTTAAGATGCAGCACTATGAAGCTATCTGTAGCACTGATCCTAAATATTAATCTAGATTCCTGACCAGGGAAATGACCCATATAGCACAGCAGACCTCTCCTATCTCTCCCGATGTTCCCCTCAGCAGTATATTTCAGTAGATCTGCCTGCCTGTTCTACTCCCCACTCTGTCTCTGGTGAGTCCTCTCGCTCCCCACATCTCTGGCCTGCACCCCAGCTCTTGTATGCATAATAAATAAATCTTTAAAAAAGGCGGTTCATTTTCAGTTATACAGGATGAAGTCGGACAGGGCTCTTGGCTTAGATCTTTCTGAGGTGGGAGAATTCAGCAACAGTAATGAAGTGAGGAAATAAATAATACAGTTAGATGGCTATGAGGAAAGTTTGGAGGCCCTGAGGCAGGAGTAAGCTTGATATTCTGGAGCAGTGAGAGAAACAGTGAAGACAGAGTGAGAATAGATGGGGTCTTGGGGTCTGGTGCAGATCACATTGGACCCTAGGGGCTATGGTAAGGCTGTTGGATTTTCTTCTAACTGAAATGGGGAAACACTGGAGCTTTGTGAAATATAATGATGTGGTCTGCCATGTTTTAAAAATTCACCCTAAAAAAAAATTCATCCTAGCTGCTATGTAGAGAATAGTCTGCATTAATAATGGAAGCACCCCATAGTGGCGGAGTAGAAATGGGATGAGGAGGTGTAGACAAGGGAAGATGGGTTTTTAGGCCAGAATGTGTATCTTGATGTGGAGAAAAGGGATTGGATTCTGGACATTTTTTGAAAGGCGAGCCAACGGGATTTGCTGATGGGTTGGCTGTGGCATGAAAGAGAGAGCGAAGTCAAGGGTAACCCTGAGGTTTTTGATGCAAGTAACTGGGTAAATAATGTTATCAGCTACCATGTGGAAAACACAACAGGGACAACAAAGGCTGCAGATATCAAAAGTGAAGTTTTACTTACTTCATGTGTTATGCTAGGCCCTAGGGCCTGATAGCTGAGTCAGTGTTAAAGAGGCACATACTAGATTGTCCCCAATTATAGTCCCAGGAGTCTCAGTATCAGAATCCCCTGGGTTCTAACTGAATGGTAGATTCTAGGTACCATTTCAGTCCGAATTAACTGCCTACATGTGGATCTTGGGAATCAGCATTTTAGTGTGTGCTCCTAAGGGATTCTGGTATCCTTTAAAAGACTGAGGACCTGTCACAAAAGCCCTATTGTAGACAAGTGACAGGAATTGACTGCTCTCACTTTCATGCCATCTATAGGCTCTCCTGGGCTTGATTTCACCCATAAGGAATCAGGGGAAGGAAGTTACAGTAGTCATGGGTTCAACCACATTCATTTGTGGTGGTGATACCAATTTGAATAACAGAGGGTTTCTCCATACCGCCCCTTTAGAATAGTCAAACATTGTAAGTCCTTACCTTAATCCTCACAAGTCTTTAAGGTAGAAATAAAGATTTTTCACTTATGAAAGATTTATTTTTATTTATTTATGCATTCAAGAACTGGGGTGTAGGCCAGAAGTGCAGGGAGTGAGGGGATTTACCAGAGACAGAAAGGGGAGCAGAACAGGCAGATCTACACTGCTGAGGAGAGCAGCGGGAGAGGCAGGAGAGGTCTCCTGCACCATGTGGGTCACCTCCCTGGTCGGGGATCTAGACTAATATTTAGGCAGGGAGGGGATCAGGGCTAGAAAATGCTTCCCTGAGAAAAGGATACTTTAATTAGAAGTCCAAAGACAGAAGCAAAGGAATGAGCAGGACATTTTAGGGAGTGGGATAAGCATGTGCACAGGCCCTGAAGTACCAGTGTAGGGTAAGTGATTATCAGGCTTTTCTGTCCTCCTGCCATTAGCATTAATGATGGATCCCTGAATGCATGCCTGATGGTGGGCATCTGGAGTGGGGTGTGGGCATATGTAGGTGGGTACACCTGGGCTGAGACTGGCTTATAGGGGCAGCATCAGCAGGGGAAGGGAACAAGAATGAAAGAGAAGCAGATGAGAGAGCACGAGAAAACACCGGAGAGCCCAGAAAGAGTGAAGATTTGTTGGGGGCTGGGAGGCCTGCCAGCATCCTGGCCCTGGCACCCCTGCCTGCCGTGCGTGTACCTGGTAAAAGCTCAATAACAAGCCTGAAAAGCCACCAAGGCCTCCAGGACTCTCCTTTACCCATCTGCTCAGATCATAGATACCCTGCACTGAGCCTTCCTGCCCCTACAACCAGAAAATATGGCCTTTTCAGAGAACTTACACATGGCTGTGGACAAGGTAGGACTTAGTAGGTAAGAGAGTGAAGGCAAAGACCTTATCAGAGGCCCACTCATATAGGCCCTTGTAGGCCTCTTAGAGTTTTGCCTTTAACCTGAGAGTATCTGGAAGACATTAAAGAGTTTTTAGCGAAGATGCAACATGTTTTTAAAAGTTCTGATTGCATTTGTGGAGGATGATGTGGGAAGAAGTGTGGATGCTGAGAAAACAGGAGGTCCAGGAGAGATTGGGATTTGCTTTTCCACTGGTGGCAGTGGAAAAGATGAAAACATGTTAGAGAGAAATTTAGATTTAGGTTTACACTATCAGGACTAGATGTATTGGTTAGGGGATGGAAGATGAAGATCAAATTGTCATGGATAGCTGGTGAGGTTCTGTCTTGGGGAACTGGGTGGATGAAGGTGCCCTTCTTAGAAATGTCAGACACTGGAGAGTTTTATTTGGTGGGTGTTGCAGGCAAAGTAACTCCCCCCCACAACTGCCATGTCCTAATCCCTGGCAACCTTATATGACAAAAGGGATTCTGCAGGTATGATTGCGTTAAGAATGTTGCCATGGGAAGAGTGCCTAGGCTATCTAGGTGGGACTAATGTGATCTCAAGGGTTCTCAAAAGGCTCTGAGTTAGAGATTGGAAGATGAGGTCTTGCTGGCTTTTAAGGTGGAGGAAGTGGCTGTGAGCCAATAAATGTAGGTTCTTGCAAATGGAAAAGGCCAGGAAACATTTCTACCCTGAGCCTCCAGAGGAGCAAAATTCTGTTGATACCTTGATATTAACCAATGAAACTCATTTTGTACTTCTGACTTCAAAAACTGTACGATAGAAATGTATGTTGTTTTAAGTCACTATGTTTGTGATAATTCGCTACAGCAGCAATAGGAAACTAATTTCCTGTTAGCAATGTGGAAACATAATCTCTGAGACAGAGAGAGATCATCTTTCCCAACTCCTACCTTTCTACCCACTCTTGTCCCACTCCATTCACTGTACTCACCATTCTGGAGATTATACTGATAATGTGTCTGAAGCTTTTTGTTTGTTTTTGTTAGCTCTGTACAGGTCTGTGTCAGTCACATGGTTCAATCCACGTTTTAAAGATGGCATGCAAAGGAGCAGGGGCAGGGGGATGGTTTGTTCAAGGTCGATCGGTGATTTGGTACATTGCTGGGATTATAACTCAGGTCTCTGGACTCCGTAGTCAAAGTATTTTCTATCACTTTGGGCAGGGCAGGTTCAGATCCCCCATTTGCCTAGAAAAGTCTCAATGTCTACACCATTTTTGACTCTTGATCACATCTGACTCCACAGGCTCACCTTTGTCTTCTGATTGCCGCTATCAACCCCACCACCTTCCAACAGAAGACTCCACTGGTTTCTGTGGACTCCACTGGCCTGTGACCTCGACAGGGTGTTGATCAGTCACACTGAGCACTCACTTTGTTGCCATGGTTGCCCTGACTGGTTGATTTGTTTGTTGGCATCACATGACTGCAAATACCAGATGCCAGAAATAAGTCTTCTAAGTTATTTAACCTAATAAGACCTTTTAATACAATGAATAGTTTAGAATATTTATTTAGCCTCCCTTCTTGCTTCTTCAGAATAAAAGCAAAACAAAAGGGTGTTTTCATGAATGCAGGCCAAATACTTTCATGAATGTAAGCAAAATTATGGCTGATTGTTTTTTGGAGTGCCTGCTATACTCTTTCTTTCCCACCTCTCCTTAGTGCCCAAAACTGAATTGCGGGGAAGGAGTGGCCTCTCTTGGGGTTCCAGGAAGCCAGCACAACATGTACTCAATTTCATGTGGTTGAAAAATTTCATGTGGTTGAAGTTGGAAAGGACTGTGAGAAGTTAATTAATCCCATCCCTTGTTCTCACATGAATAAGTGCAGGGCAATGCATTGTTGCAGCTACTTTAAATCCTTTGAGAACAAAAGTTTTATAATCGTCCTTGAAAAGATGCAGAGAAGCTTAAAGTTAGCTATGTAAAAACCTCAGTTAGGATTCCTTAAAATGAGCTTGGCCCCGCCACCTATCCACATGTCCACAAACTTCAATGGATAGGCCTCTTCAGGCCACTAGTCCTGCAGCCTAATCATCCTGCCTACCTCTGTACCCCCCATGACAACAACTTCTGAGTTCCTGCTGTAGAAGTGGGCCATGTGACTTGCTCCACTAGAATCATACCCACCAGATGAATGCGGCAGAAACTAGGGGAAAGGTACAAATGACATAGAACTAGGCTGGGGGGCCTCCCTTGTGGCACAGGGGGTTGAGCGCCACACTATGAAGCAATCCGCAGCCTCTGCAGCAAGAGTTCGATCTCCGGAGAGCCAGAGAGAAACCCACATAGCGAAGCAGACCTCTCCTATCTCACCCACTGCTCCCTTCAGCAGTGTATTTCAGTCAGTCTGCCTGTTCTGTTCCCCACTTTGTCTCTGGTGAATCCTCTCACCCTCCTTCCCCACTACATCTCTGGCCTGTACCCCAGCTCTTGTATGCATAAATAAATCTTAAAAAAAAAAAAAACTAGGCTGGGTAACAGGGAAGTCCACATAGTTAATAGTAGTGTTCAAATCCAGATCTTCTCATTCAAAATCTGAGGGTCTTCCTCATACCAGATTTCCCTTCTTGTATCAATTAGTACTGGGATATGAAGATGAATAAGATACCACCCCTGTCTGGCAGGATGGGTAGTTCAGAAAGAAGTTGCATAAAAATGGATGGCATAAAACAAATATTTTTTGAGATGTGCAGGGGTTGACAGAAAGGAAATGTTTTAAGTGCAAAAGTCTTAAGTATAAATCAACTATCACAGTCTGCTTCTAATTAATTAGGTTGAATCAGATTTCAAAACTATCAATGCCTCCTTATTGTTTATAGAATAAAGTCAGCAGCCTGGTGCAAGTTTGCTCTGTCACTGAGGGTGCTCAGCACAATGACTTCAACAGGAGACACTCAAATATAGATAACTTTGCAAAAGCCACAAAAGACAGGCCTCCAAATACCTGCCTGACTCCTCTTTTCCAGACCTAATGAATATGTGTCACAGCTCATTTTTATCCAACAACAATTTAATTAAATGGTTCTTAAATATCTATTGTACCTACTAATATTTGAACCAAAGCTATAAAAATAAAGAGATTCTGTGATAAAGATAGGAGATGCTTTTACTTCCTGCCCACAACTATATACTTGCTGTTATTGATAACCCCATTGGCACATCCCTTGCCTACCCCTGATAAAAAATGAAGATAGAGACGCATCTCCCTAAGGCTGATCCAGCCCAAATTTTGAATCCCATCACTTCCTGGTTTTGTTTTGTTTTTTTTTAGTCTGTTTTTATCAAGTATTCTCTGTCAGGTGTCTTTATTCTCTCCTTTTCTGTTAGATTTTTCCCTTGAGCACTTAGATATTTTTGTCACCTTATTCCTTTTTATAAAACTCCAAAATATCCTTGGATCCTTCATTCCTTTCAGAACTATGCTGTCATTCCTCCTATTTGAAGCCACATTTCAGGAAATTTATTTGTAAAGTTTGCTTCCATTTCTTCCTCCCCATTTATTTCCATTCCGTGTCCATTTGCCAAGAGAAGTGATGGTAGGGAAGCCAGGCAAAGAAGGAGTTTCTAGAAGCAAGAGCATTAAATGTTCTAATGTCAGTGGGGAAAGAACTGGAAAGGAACCATAGACTCAGGCAGCTCAGAGATCATGAGTTCCCTTTTGGAGAGTAATTTTAGTGACTTCATAGCAGAGTGGATTGGGGAGAGAATGTAGGGAAAGGATATGACAGGACAGAGAATGATAGGGAGTATTCATATAGGAAATTTGCAGCGAAGGAAAGGTGAAAAAAGGGAAAGACAGATAGTTAAGGGAAAATATTTTCTTTTAGATGGGGGTTAACCTGAACATGGTTTTGTTTTGTTGTTGATGATTTATGACTGAAAGGAAGGCTCCAAGGAAAAATGAAGATAAAGGGAAAGCAGAAAAGACAGAATAGAGCTGATAAAAATAGGTAGAAGGATGATAGGTCGTCACCTGGTTGGGGGGAAGAAGGATGAATTATTGACCCAGAGACCCAACTGGACAAAGTTCTCTCTTAATGGCCTCTAACATTCCTGTGAAGTATCATATTTAAAATCCCAGAAACCCATTCAACCTATTTTCCTTGATTAATGAAGAGATGAGAAAAAAAGATTTTCTTTAAAAATGATAGCTACTATGTAAATAAAACAGGAGATGAGCACCACACTAAACAAATTAAGAAAAGAGATGGAAAAGAGTGATGCAAAAGAATCAGCCATGTATAGTCCTTTGAATCCCAGTTACAGGCTGGAAGCAAAATTTCATTTGATAAGGCTCATGTGCATTCATTAAACTAGACCTCAGCTCCAAGGAGACAGGATATATGTCCATCTGTCCCTGTGACATCCAATGACTTGCCTATATATAGCAAATGCTTAGTAATTGTTCAATGAATAAAAATTAAATACTGAAGAATTTCATCTAGCTTTTTTTTAAATTTATGCGTATTAGAACTGGTTACAGGCCAGAGGTGCAGGGGGCTGAGAGGATCCACCAGAGGCAAAGTGGGGAAGAGAACAGGCAGAATGGTTGAAATACACTGCTGAGGGAGCAGCGGGCGAGACAGGAGAGGTCTGCTGTGCCATGTGGGTCAGCACCCTGGCCGGGGATCGAACTTGTGCTGCAGTGGCTGTGGACAGCTTCAGAGTGCTGCGACCTAATCCTTTGCACCACCAGGGAGTCCTTCATTTAGCTTTTTGATCAAGGTTAAAAACAACCTTCTTCATGGCATGTGACCTGTACAATTGCAAGACTCTAGGCTCTGCTTGGCTTAATGTTTTGCTGTCACTTTAGAAATTCTCAAAAATGTGAATAAGGAACCCCACATTTTATTTTGTACCAGGCCCCACAAGTGATGTAGCCCATATTGGTTAAAAACAACAAAAAACATTGCTATAAAATGTCACCAAATGGATATTTTAGGTATATCTATATAAGAGTATTAAATTATCAATAGAGATTTATCTTTATAATTAAGAAAATATCTTCAGACTTACCTGAAGTTCTAGATTGTGGTTTTTCTTTCTGAAAATATGCTTCATATTCTCTGTAGACAATTTTCTTAAAGGAAGTTGCAGGAGTTTTCAAACTGGAAATAAAACACAAAATTTGATTTGAAAAGCATGTCTATCTGTCAGTTGCATAGCACATAACAAAAAAAATAGATCTCTCATGTACTCAGAATTATAGTAAGAATTGCAGTATTTTCATTGTACTTCAAAAACCTAACTTTTTATAAACATAAACAAATACAGAACAAGTAAAAGAGCAGATAAAATTAATATTTTAACATTTTTTTTTCAACCAAGCTTCAAATTTAATCTGGTATTTTTAAATAAAGGAACATAGTAAGCTATTTCTGCTTTGCTTCTCTGCAATGTCTCATTAAATTGGAAAAGTGTCTGTGAAATTTTTTGTTTTGTGACCAAATGTTCATTTAATTCCTAACATTTATATAAGAATTATAAATGAATAACTTGGAAAGAAGCTAGTGCAGTTAAAAAAATAATTATTGATGACTTCAAGAGTACTTTGGAGTGATAGCCATTCTCTTACAAATTTAGGCTAATCTAGCAAACCCTGTTACTCAGAATCAGTTTTCTAAAAAAAAAAAAAAATCCAAGATCATAGTGTGAATCCAAGCTTTAATGTTTAAGTTTTAAATGATTAACCAAATCCTTTATGAATAAATATGTGCTATTTTTCAATTGATCAGGCAAATAGTTTTAAACTACAGGGAACACGGTGAAGACCTGTTGATTTGGTGTGCCCTATTTCTAGTTGAGAAGTGGAAATGGCTAATATGGGGGGAAAGCCCTGGGATCATTGGAAACAAAGTAAAAAATGATAAAAAAAAAAAAAAAACCCACCCAGAAGTCTTGGAAAATTTAGGTACTTTGTCCAAGGAGGAGAAATGGTTGATAAATGTATAAAGCCGAGATTCAAAAAAGGTAAAACTAATGTTACCACAATTAAAATAAAAAATAACTAAGACAATAAAAAACAACACACTAAAATAAAATTATTAATTGAGTATATCTGCATAAATTCTTGTAATTTTATTCTGTGTCTCTATAAATGGGCACAATAGTGTTCTTGTCTAAAACTCAAAGATGAAGGTAAAGGGAAGAGAATTGGGGGACATTTCTTAAAAATGGCAATCCAGTTGACCATTGGCTTTGTTATCCTTGGTAATCCAGAGAGTGACCCAAGAGTAATCAGGGCATAAAGGTGGGGTAGTTACCTCAGCCACTTTTACTTCTAGAGAACAGGTTGTGGATTCTGATTGTCTGGGTTTGAATCTTGTATCTATCCCTCATTAACATTATGACGTTGAGAAGTTTACCTAATCTCTTTGTGCCCTAGTTTTTAGAATAGTGAAATTGGAACAATTGTAAAATCTCCCTTACAGAAATGTTACAAGAACTAAATCAGGTGATACATGCAAAGGGCTTAGGGTTTGCACATTGTAAGTATTCAATACATATTAGCTGGTAATATTAAAAGTGTAATAAAAGTTTGTTTTTAGCATTCAACTTTTCCCAGCAAGCAGAAAAATATGTAATTATGATGATTATTATAATTTTTAAAATTTATGTACACTGTGTTAATATTTGGGGGCAGAATGAAAGGATATAGAGTGAATGTTTTTGGAATGACTGGTTATGAGAGATAGTGGGTTTAGTCACTGAAAACATTGAAGTAGAAACTAAACCACTGGGTGGGGATATTGGTTTTGGGTGTGGGGAAATGTAGGCGGTTGAAACATGGAAGTTGAAAAATGAATTAAATGAACTCTTGGAGTTCTTGGTATCCCAGAATATTAGGATTCTGTTTGTTAGTTTTTGTCTTCAATGTAGAAGTCCATTTTTAGTAGGTTTTAAAGTACAATTGAGAAGTAGCTTCTTCTCCCACTCACATCTTTAAATACAAGAATATAGATGATGGTGTGAAATCTTTAAAAGAAAACCACTTTACTGGAGTAATTTTAATAGATGTGTTTTCCCTAATATATTTCCTTGTGTGATTTTTGTGTACATACTTTGAACAACTGAATCACTCACTATTGGAAAGCAATCTGTCTGAACAGAAGGTTAAAGATGATGTGAATTCCAAAAATAAAAATGCATGTGTAATTTTCCATTTATGAAGACTGTTTACAGATGATGTGCTCATAATTAAAAAAATCATATAAAGCTAGACCCATACATGGAAGATTTATTTATTTTCCCCCAATATCTGTTACTATATATATGTAAGTGATATAACAAGTTTCCTTAGGGAGATTTTTAAAAACATTTATATAAAATCAGAGCAAGAATAATAGATTAGCATTGTCCTGATAATGCTCGATGAAATAAGTGGAAAGATTTGTGCTGAAATACACTTTGATCCAGGATGGGATTTTTTATGTTGATTTCCTTGTAGTAAGGATTATTCAGCTCCAGGTAAAAAGGACAAGTTAGAGCAAGTTTTAAGTTTAATTAGCTAGATATACTAATTAGATTTTTTTCACATGATTTGAATTTCAAGAATATTGCTTGCTGGTCTGGGTATCAGTCTCAATGTGGTCTCTTACTTAGTTTGATTATGTTTGATATCAGAAGAATTTCACTTTGAGAATTCTGGAAACTGGCCATGGAGTGAGAGGGCAGGATGACCAGTGATGGCTCCCTGTGGACTCACCTCATGAATCAGACTTTTGCCCTGTGTGATTATGCCTCCAGTTTTCTGTTTGTTATTTTCGGCATTAACTAGGGAAGAAAGAACAAGCTCCCAAACATAAGCGCAGTGTGCCACAGGAAAGCCAGCAGCCAAATTAGTGTTTTACCCACGAGCAGAAATGATAAATGCTGGAAGACTGTTATTTTCTTTGGGGATTTTTAGTTAATGGCCATTCCCTAAGGGTGTGGGTATGACCTAGATTATCATCTTGAAATACAATATTTAAAATGGTATTTTTTAAAAAGAGACTTATTGTTATTATGAGACGAATATAGTATGTAATTCCCTCTAAAATAACTCAGTTACAAAGATATTTTCCAAATGGTTAATGTTTATACATTAAAAGCTTCTTAAAATATTAGATGATTTCTTGGTAGCTTGCTTTGGTTTTGTAATTGTAAAAGAGGAACACATCTTTCACAATCATTTAAACTCTGATGTTAAGTAAAAAAAATTGAGTCACACTATGAGGTTTACCATTAAAACAAATAAAAATATAATTCACTGGAAATACTGAGTAGATTTGGTTAATTTCTGGGAAGTCTTATTTTTAACTTTTCAATTAGGACTTTTTTTTTTTTTTTTTTGCAACTCAAAGATTGAGTTTTATTTTTGATACCTTGTCTCAATTCCATGTGACTTTTAATAGTGACCCTAATAAAATAGCCAGGGGAGATAATTTCCCAGGGAATGATAAAGAATGAGAAAAATGAAGTCACATCAAGCAGAAAAAAAGGGTGAAAGAAGAAAAGTGTTGCATTTTTATGGACTGATATTTCTAAAGTAACTTATAAGACAGGAACAAAAATTATGGCAATTGTTATAGACTAATCTGCCTGTAATACAGTGTAAGGTATATATAGCTTTAGCTTTAAAAGATGAAGCTACGTGGACAATAAAATAAATAATATGTAATTAGAAGTTTCATATAAATGCTAGACTGCTAAAAATATGAAACAGGAGTTTCAGAGAGAGCTGCTAAGGAAATAAATATCTGCTGCTTTTGAATCAGTCAATATATTAAGCCAATAATCAAACATACTAACATAATTGTATTTACAGCAAACTCTTGAAAGCAATCAAACAGAATATTTTCTGTATGCTCAGAATATAAAACTTATTGGATAAAATTAGCATTCACAAAGTTTATTTCATTTATCATACTCTTCTATTGAGTTATTTACTTACCTGAAAAAAAATTTTAAAATCAAGGAGTTGCCAAAGGAATGTTCTTTAAAGAGAAAAAAGATGACCCTCCTAGAGTTGCCCACCCAGACACCAGCCAGCATTACCTGGGGTTCGTGGGCTCAGGGAGGTAGCTCCAGTTGATGATCTGAGCAGCCACATAAAACTGCCTGAGCCGCGCTGCTTCAGCCCCTAGGCTCCCCCAGCCTGCCCCGCTGGAACCCAGAATCACTAGGACCCAGAAGCATGGGCAGTCAGGGGACATGGTTACTTTCCCGCACCTGCCCCCTGTCACCACCCTAGGACCTGGGTGGGAGAAAACGATGGCCCCTTCCTGAGTTCTGCACTGTCCCGGCTGCAGTGAGCTCAGGAAGCTGCGGGTGGCAGTGTCCCTTCTCTCCAGTCTCTCTGGCTTAACAACTGCTGCTGCCGCTTTGTGCTGTCTCCGCCTTCCCAGGCAGGAGGTTGGCTAGGTCGCTGCGGCAGGTGACAAGAGGCAGCAGGCAGAGGGAGAGAAACCCGACTATTGACTGTCTAGGAGATGGCACAGTGCCCAGGTGTTCAGGACTATATTCCCCCACTTTCACTTGCTAACTGCCCTTGGACTGAGCCCCTGGAGACCTTTACCACTGTTGGGACAAAAGACTACCCCAGGATGTGCCTAAATGGTATGATTTGCATAATTATCACCCTAACAACAGAAAATCTCTGGTCTGGGAAGTGGGAGATAGCCTTCCAGGCTTATCAGCCCAGGCTAGGGTTTGCAAGGTCTGTTTTCCATGCCTATGTAGAATAATCCTGCAAAATCCCTTTTTCTTTTAATTGCAAAGTTTTTTGTTTTGTTTTTCCTTCTTAAATGTATTGCCTCCTCTCTTAGAAACCATATAACCTCACTGGAGCGATAGGAGGTAGGTTCATATTCTGTGTATCCCTGAGTACACACATAATTAAAATTTATCTTTTAATTTTTTTTTTCCCCAGCCTAGAGACCTAGAAGGGTAAAAGAAAATTAACTTCCTCCCACTACCATCATCCATAAAACCTGCCTGGGCAAAGTTCACACTTGTCAGACCCTCTGCAATTTCTAATGTAATGGATTTCTACATTTACCCACATGACCCACCTTCTGATCTCAGGAAGAGTATCATACCCTGTTACTAGGCACAGAGATATTGTATTTTCAGGTGGTAAGTGATGTTGTTTTTGGAGTTGATGGGTTTGGAGAACAGGGTGCTTGGATTCACTCTGGGAAAGGTTTCATCAGAGCTCAGCTCCCCTCTCAGCTGCACACAGTGAGTTTCTCCATGAGAGAGACATTAATTCTATTTAAAAGAGCAAGTCTGTTAGGGAAAGGGACAGAAGAATAAAGGACACTTGCATAGACACAAGTGGGCAGAAAGAGCTGCCTTTTTGTGGGGGGCAGCATTAATTTTTATCTTCTTTTGGTAGGGAGGGCCTCATCTTGGTGGTTGGTTTGTTGTAGAATTTGAAAGGGACCAGAGATTCTACAGTGGGTTCAATCTCTATATCTTTCCCTTAGGGGCTGCACTCCTGACACTCCTTACAGCAGTCTGATATATGCTTGGATCTTAAGCTTTGTGATCTAGGCATTGGCACCTCAGGATCTTGGTTTCTATAGCTGGGTCAATGGCTGTGTTATTCCCTTCTACCCCCATTTCCTTGTTTGAGTTGGTTTCTAGTCTTGTGATGCCTCCTTTAAGTTTTCTATTCTTTTCCTAGATCAGTGAGGAAGCAAGGATGCAACAGGGGACCAATCTGGACCATTTAATTGACTTCTACCCATTCACAGTTCTTTCTTGAGAAAAGTTTTTGACTAGCAAAGCAGAGCAGAAGGCGTAAAGAGCTTGGTTGATAGACTCAATTTTAATCCAACTTTCTACCTGTGTTATCTTTGATAAATTATTCAACCTCTCTGGAATTCAGTTTTGATATCTGTAAAATAAGGATGATAATAATATTTTCCATGATAGGGTTGTTGGGAGGATAAAAGAGTACTTTTTGGAGGATCTGGCTGTTTCAAACTGCTTAAAGATTAGGACCTCCCTGGCAGTGCAAGAGGTTAAGTTTAAGCACTATGAAGTTATGGGCCAGCCGTTGGCAGCTATCAGCAGACACTGCAGCACTAGTTGGATCCCAGCCAGGGAGCTAACCCACAAGGTGCAGCAGACCTCTCCTGTCTCACCCCCTGCTCTCCTCAGCAGTGTATTTCTGTAGGTCTCCCTGTAGATCTCCTCACTCTGTCTCTGGTGAATCCTCTCACCCCTGGGATCTCTAGGCTATACCCCAGCTCTTATATGCATAAATAAATAACTCTTAAAAAAACTGCTTAAAGATTTTATTTTGTTGTTGATAGAGAATATGAGAATTATAGTACCTGAAGCGTTGTTGTGCTATTAGACTTGCCTTAGGGTTCTGAATCTATATTAGAGAAACTTTTTAAAAGAAGCACCGTATCCCTAAGTCCCATATTCTTATAACCTTTAGTTAGACTGTTTTACCATTTTTATTTACATGCTTACCAATGTCTTTCAGTTTACATGACATGTTCAAGGTCACACATTTCAAAGAAATAAGACAACTATATTGTTGGATCCTCTGTTTTTGTATCAGCTCCAGGTAATGTCTGTGTAAATTTCAATAGCCTCTTTATTAAATATGTGGTCTAAAGAACATGTGAAACTCATCTGTGCTTCTCTAAAGAACATGCAAGTGATGAAGTCTTTTTCTTCTCTGATTTTTCTCTGTATAGGAGACTGGGTTGTGTCTGTCTGAAGGGTTGAGCTGGAGTTGGGACAACTGCAATTGTGCTTTACATTGGTGATAAAGCAATGTACCAGAAACAAAACAAAATATCAAAAAGAGGAACATGGCATTTGGAGGAGAATCCTTTTAATTACACATCTGAATAGTGGTTTTTGGGTTCTTTGAAGGAGGGTTCCTGGATGGAGGGAAGGCCTACAGTGACATATGCTTTCCTGTCTTGGTTCTTGGTCTTCTGCTGCCCAAAGGCTGCTCTGGAAGCCTCACAGCAGAGATCTTAGAGTCTTGATAAACAGCAGCCACTGGAGACTACAGAAGACCTTATAGGAATTCCTTCAAGTCAAAGACATGGCCTGCCTTCCAATACAGTAGAGGCATTTTAATTTCTCCACAGTCTGGCTTGCCAATGAATCAGAAGCTCCAGTGTCTGGCTAAATGGTAGTGCCACAGACTATTGTGGAAACATTCAGCCCTGGCTTCTGAGGCTTCTGTCAAAGGAAGAGGAGAGGTGGGGCAGGAAGAGGTAGAGGGTGAAGGGTTTAGGCTTTTGGTACAGTCTTTCTGCTGCTGTCCACTGTTAATCTAAAGGCAATTTCATGTCTTTATTCACAAGTATTTACAGAAAACTACACTGTAGTTAAAATCAAGTGTAGCAGGAAGCCTGATGTTTAAAAATAGGATCTGGTGGAGGTTCGGTGAGGTGACTACAGAAGGACGGTTCTCTGAAAATGAGACAAAATAAGATAATTACTTTTTCTCTAAAAGAAAGAAGGAAGGAAGGAAAATTCTCATCATATCTACCCCCTGAGACTCAATATTGTCTCCAGAATCCAGATATTCTACCTTCTAAGCTCCTTTTCTTAGGAAACTCACTTTCTCACTGAGATTTTTGGGAAAGAGAAAGTGTCAGATTATTTTTGCTTTCCTAGCAGATCCCATAGGAAACTGATTCCATAAAAGTTTATAAAATTTTACCAGCAGTTATGCCTTCTAAGTATCAAGCAAGACCACAGTGTAAATACTGCCTAATAGCCACTGATGGGAAGGCCCTATATCCTAAAGTCATTCTGTAATATTTGTCATATGTCATATTAGAACACATCTCATTTGAACATTTCTATCCTGAAGGAAATGGTCATCCTTATATGAACTCACTTTCTATTATCACTCCACTGCCATATCCTTCCCTGCTGCCACTATAATTTCCTTCATGGCTTGAAAAGCTAATACATGTTTAAAATTTAATTCATGATTCTATAAAGAAAAGTTAGACTTTATATTCTTGTTCTTCTACATTCTTTCATGCTGTTCTGTACCCTTCAAAAATATCTTCATGGGTAACTTACCTTAAGAGTTCGAGTCAAATGCAGCATTGGTAAAAACTCCGTATGTTCCTAGGTGGCTAAAGAAAAGAAACACAAGGAATGGCCTGTCATAAGGTGCTTAGTCCTTGACCACAGTCCTTGACCACATTGTTTCTGCAGAGAACATGATCACCACCACCCTGCTCCTGCAATTCTGCTTTGAAAGGGAAAGAAAAGTAAATGCCAAAGAGATGAGATCCTACTTAATAGCTCTGTTAAGTTATTATTAAGCTTTGGGTACTTAATAACTGCTATGCACCCTAAGGGGCTGCAGTCTCTTCTGGGTGAGAGGATCTTTACAAAGCTGCCAACCTTGGGCCTCCCTGATAGGGCAGGAGGTTGAGTGCGGCGCTGTGAAGCTATCCACAGCCTCTACAGCGCTGATTAGATCCCAGCGGGTCTGCGAGAATCCCACATGGTGCGGTGGCAAACCTCTCCTGTCTCTCCAGCTGCTCCCCTCAGCAGTGTATTTCAGTCAGTCTGCCTGTTCTGTTCCCCTTTCTGTCTCTGGTGAATCCTCTCACCCTCCCGTGCATCTGGCCTCTACCCCGGTTCTTGTATAAATAAATAAATCTTTAAAAAACAAAACAGGGCCTCCCCGGTGGCGCAGCGGTTGAGTGCTGGGTTGCGAAGCTGCCCGCAGCCTATGCGGCGCCGGTTCTATCCCCGGCTGCTCCCCGGCCACCGGAGGAGGGTCCCACATGGCGCGCAGACCTCTCCTGCCGCCCGCTGCTCCCCTCAGCAGTGTACTTCGGTCCTTCTGCCTGCTCTGCTCCCTGCTCTGGCTCTGGTGAATTCTCTCACCCTCCCGCGCTTCTGACTGTACCCAGTGCATGTATAAACAAAACAAACAAACAAACAAATAAATAAATAAATAAATAAAACATGCCTCTATTTAAAAAAAAAAATAAAAAACAAAACAAAACAATGCTGTCAACCTTATACTTGATCATCTGGCAATGGTTTTCAAAGAATGGTAGTACTGCCCCCTAGGGGCATTTCCTGATTTTCATCATGATCAAGAGTTCTACTGAGTTTTAATGGGCAGGGGTCAGAGGGGTTGGATGTCCCAATAGACATGACAGGAAACAATTCTCTTATACCCCACACAGCTCTTGAGTATCTACTCAGCATTCATATTGATGAAAAATCTCTGAGCCTGAGGCTTAACTGCTTTAAGATAGTAATACTATTAACTGCTAAAAAATATTGAGGTTTTTATTTTTGCCTGTTTTAAAATGTAATTACCATGTGGACTGAGGGAAGGCTAATGGGTTTTACAACTTTTTCCCAGAGTTGTCCGCCATGCCATTTAAGGAATATCAGATTGGTGTTAGGAATGCTTCTGATGCTGTTTGAATCATGAATACAATTCTACCCAAAAGTGTGAGTTTCTGATCACTCACAGCATCTGCTAGTGTAGTGCCCAAACTTCAGCATTTATTGCTATTATGCATCACTTTCCCTATTGCTATTATGCATATCTTTCCTTTATAACTAGGGCACTTGTTGATTTTTAAGAATATTATATGTAGCTAGGATATATTATCTGTGTATTTTAATTTTGACTTAGTAAAGGGAACATTGCAAAAGATTTGCTGCAAAAAAGGAGGCCTATGTATGATCATTCTGACATACGACATTGAATTAAAAAGCCTAAGTAAAAACAAAATTATCTAAACATAAAAATTTCTGTTTTACCTGTGAGGGTTCAAGGGGCTTTTCCCATCATCTGAAATAAGGGAAAAGGCACAATTAGTTTAGAAGAAAACAAGATGGAGAAAGGTGCATTAAAGGAGTGTATTGGGAACAGTCACTCCCTAAAAGTAGGACCGGTTTTAAACAAAATTAAATATTTGATAACATATAACTCCAGAGTACTTTACCTTTCTTTTCTTCCCTGTCAGTAAAAACCTCTCTTCATAACTCTGGTTCCTGCCTTTGGACTCTTAGCTATTTTTGGTGATGGTTGTTGAGATCTTAGGTCCTCCAAACCCTTTTTTTTTTTTTGGCATTTGAGGCCCCCTATCATTGCATCCTGTACGACAATCCTTCAGCTATCAACTGCACAAGCTAGTCACATAAACAAATCTATGCTGGCAGCAACCTGTCAGTCATCTCTGGATAATGGGAAGGGGATGTGGGAAAAGCATATTATGGCTAAATGAGTTTAGAAAAGGTCAAATGAAAAGGAACAAGTATATTAATTGCAAGTCATTATTGAACCTTCCATATCATAATGAATATGCATCTTGAATTTGTAGGATAGGGAGATATAGTATGCTACATTTTCCTATTGTTGGGCCATAGAAGCCTAGGAAGTTTAGAATCAAATTGGGATAGGTCAAGGAAAAATTCTACATTATCCCCAAGAAATTTTTTTATTATAAAGATACTAGAAGATATTGGTCCTTCTTGGTGGCTCAGAGGGTTCCCTAGAAATGTCTCAAAAGTAAAGAAACAACTTGGGGGAAATGCAGGAACAATGTATTCCTACATTAGAATCCAGGTCTTAGGAGTTTGAACAAACACACATGTGACATGGAAGTGTTATAGAGCAGCCCCGATATTGAACGGGTTCCTGGCTGTGGGTCCTCACCCGCACGCTTACAAGGGACTTATGAATACTCCACTACAGGCACACACAAAAGGTTAATAAAAGGTTTATTTACAAGGGAAAAGGAAATAAGGAAAATGTACAACTCAGGGAAAAAATAGGGAAATAAAGTCTTTAATGCGTCCTACCCGATCCGAAGACCTGGAAACCCAAAGTCACTCTCCGAGCTGGCCAGACGCTGCTAGCTGGTGGAGAGCCAAAATGGGGAACCCCCCAAAGCCCACGTGTCTGCCTTTTATCAACCTGGCTGCTTAACCCCACCCTCAGTTCCCAGCCACCTTCCCTTTGGTGGTGATGGGATTTGGAGTTCCCAGTGTCTTTGGCTTTGGCCTGGGGTGGGGGTGGAGTCCACAAAGCCTGTATGGAATTAGCTTTAGGACATCCTTTTCCCCCCTAACAGAAGGATTGGTTGTATCTCTTTGGTTTTTAAGAAGAGAGTTACTCTTTGTTGATTGTCCTAGTCACCCAATCACAGGGGTGTATAGGAAGAAAATTTAGAAAACCAGCCTCAGTGAGATGGTAGCTTCTCAAAGGAGAGAGCATAAGAGTAGGCAACAAGTGGTTCAGCCCCTGAGTTTTTTGTTTTTTTTTTTCTTTAACCTATATTGTTACCTTTACTTTAGCCTTAATTTGTGAAATTTTTTTTCATAGAAAAGTATGACATTTTATTTTGATTAGAAATGGCACAATTATTTTTTACTCGTTATGCATTCAGTTTTTTTAAATAAATTTTATTTTTATATTCCCCATACAATTGCAACCCCCTTATTTTGACCCCAATCCCTCCCCTCCCCGCCCCCTACCCCCCATAGAGTGTCCCTGGTTCATAGTTTTTTGTTGATTTTGATTTTCACTTTCTTATAGTTATTCATTTTCCTGGTCCCTTATTTAAGTTTTCTAGATTCCTGCTATGAGTGAGACCATCCGGTATTTTTCTTTTTCTTTCTATTCAGCCTCTGAGTTTTAAGAATAGGTGTTGAAACTCCTCAATTCAATTCCAAACTCCTCATTTCCAAACTCTGCCAGGGACTTTTAACATAGACCTTTTCAGTTATTATAATTTAAGTACTTCTGACCCTCCCCCTCCCAAGCCCCTGGTTTCTTTCATTTAGCAATGCTGAAAAAGAGCTCCATTAGCATATAAAAAGATTTCTAAAGGGGCCTCCCTGGTGGTGCACAGTGCTTCACAGCACTAGGAAGCTATCAGCAGCCACTGCAGTGTCAGTTAGAGTCCCAGCCAGGGAGCAGGCCCACATGGTGCAGCAGAGGACAGCTGCTCCCCTCAGCAGTGCATTTCAGTCAATAGGCCTGTTCTGTTTCCCACTCTGTCTCTGGTGAATCCTCTCACCCCTCCCCACTACCTCTAGCCTGTACCCCAGTTCTTGTATGCATAAATAAATAAATTTTAAAAAGGATATCTAAAGTTATCAGGATAAGTGTCTGGGGCAGCCATAAGAGGGATGTCTTAACCCTTAAGGGACAGTTCCCTTCTTTTATTCCTAGACCAGATCTATTTTTGATGAGCTGAGCACCCTGATAAACACAGGTTCCCTTACCGAGGATTTCATCAATTTTGGCCATTTTCCTGCTTAAACCTTACATTGATTCCTCAAGTTTTCATGAAAATGAACATGTCTCTTAGTTTGCATCCAAGTTCTTACCTGTTTCATTATTCACTTCTACCAGCCTTTTCTGAATTAGATGCACTAAACAATGGCCAGACCACTAGCCCAGTTATTTCACCTTTTCAGGTATTTTCACATACTATTATTTTTGCTGGGACTCTACTTCTATGTTTTTTTCTTGGCAAAATCATTCTCATTCTTCAAAGATCTTAGAAGAACCCTTTCTTACCCATCAATCTGCATTGGACACCTGTTTTGTGTTCCAGTAATACTTAGGCAGTACTTTTGTTAAACTAAGTACACTTGTATTAACACTAGTTTAACTTGTTTGTCTCCTTATCCTACTGAATTATACATTCTTAATATCAGGTACCATCCCTTTGGGTTCCACTATCTAGCACAGTTGACCAATACCTGACTTGTACATGAAAGAATGAGTGAAGAAAGTATGACACTTTTCCAACTAGATTTTGGTGACAACTAATGTTACCTAGACTAGAGGACCCCAAATGCCAGTGTGTAATCTAGCTTCATCAGAATTTGGAGGAGGGAGAATATTTTTAAAAATTTAGATTGCTCATTTCCAGATCTCCCTACATGAGCAGCTGTATTTTTGTGAAGTTCTGTGTTTTGGTAATGGTGATTCTTATGGGTAACCATTTCTCTAGATCATTTATCTTGCTCCTGCTTTCTTTTAATGTAAATATTTTCAAACATGAACTACTGAAGTTGTGGTTGCATGGCCCCACCCCGAATTACACAAAAGAAGAAAATAAGGAGCACCTTCTTTCCTATTTACCTTTTTGTCTGAAGCGCTTTCTGAGCAGAGCCAGGAATGTTCCACCCATCACCAAACCTGTCATTGAAGCCACTGCTCCTCCAAAGTAAGCTAGGGCTTCCTGGATAGTGAGTGGTCCCACTGCAAAACACACACACACACAAGCACAGATGTAAGTGTACTATGCAAGGATCCTGAGGACTCTACGATGGGAGGTCAAGTAGGATCACCGAAGTGCTGATAGGCATAAGGGAAGATCTGAAGTCATAAAACCACTGCAGAGGATGGGAAGCAGAGCCAGACTTTATTCCTAACACTTAGCTATCACAGGTGATTTTCCAAAGGAGTCAGGGGAAGGACCCAATAAAGAGAATTAAAGGGTAGACACAAGAAATGGAAGTTTGAATAATAAACCATAGGTAGTTTTGGGTGGTGATGGTGGGGCAATCAGACAAAGTTATGCAACAAAAACTGGCTATAACAAGCTGCTAGAGAACAAAAATGAAAAAAGCCAGGAGGGCCTCCCTGGTTGTGCAGGGGTTAAAGTCTCAGTGCTATCATGCTATCTGTAGACACTGCAGCAGGAGTTCAATCCCCAGTGAGGGAACTGACCCCCATGGCACAGCAGATCTCTCCTGTCTTGCCCGTTGCTCCCCTTAGAAGGGTATTTCAGTAGATCTGCCTGTTCTGCTCCTCACTCTGTCTCTGATGAATCCTCTTACCCCCTGCATCTCTGGCCAATTCTTGTATGTATAAATAAATAAAAATAAATCTTAAAAACAGATTCATTAAAAAAAGAAAAAGAAAAAAGGCAGGAGATGAAATAAGCCTTATAAACAGGTAGAGTTCATTAAGGCAGATATATGGTATTTTTAGAGGTATAGGAGAGACAGTGGTTTTCTAAGACAATAAATTAGGAATTTGCATGAAATAATATCTAAAACAGTTTGCAACTTTAAGATATATTACACAGAGATCATAAAGAAATGAGAGGAAACATGCGAATCTGAGCTCTGAAAAAAGTGGAGAGCGTTGGCACACAGTCATTGAATTTAATTCCGACTGCTCTATATAAGGCAAGGAGAATCTGCTTGATTAATTATGAAACATTTATGAAACACAGGGTAAACCCAGTGATACAAAACGAGACTACACAGAAAAGAAACACTGATTTTATTATTTTCTGTATCAAAATGACTTTCTCCCTCTCCCCCCCCCCCCGCCCCACACAGGCTCCATGCTTAATTTAATTTTATTATTTTCCTTTATGTTTTAAAAAAATTTTTTTAAATTTACATCATTGATCATTTTTAAACAATATTTGCTTCCCCTCACCTCTCAGGTGTAATCCTCATAGAGTTTCCTTCACCAATGTACCCGTGCACCATCCCCTCAGTCCCCTGTGCTCCTCCCTCCCTCCCTCTGATCCCTCTTTCTTCCTTCTCCCCTGCAGGATGTCTCTGATTTATAATTGTCTATTTTTGCTTTGTTGTGTTTTGTACTGTTATTATTTTTTTTACAGTGATGTCTTATTTGGTTCCCCTATATACCTGCTATAAGTGAAACCATCTGATGATATTTTTCTTTTTCCTTCTGGCTTATTTTACTCAGTATATACTTTTTTTTTTTTTAAGATTTATTTATGCATATAAGAACTGGGTACAGGCTAGAGGTACGGGAGATGAGAGGATTCACCAGAGACAGAGTGGGGAACAGAACAGGCAGAATGACTGAAATATACTGCTGAGGGGAGCAGTGGGCAAGACAGGAGAGGTCTGCTGTGCCATATGCGTAGCTCCCTGCTTGGGAATCGAACTTGTGCTGCAGAGGTTGTAGATAGCTTCACGGTGCTGTGTTTAACCCCTTGCACCACTAGGGAGGCCCTCAAAATGACTTTCTAATCCATAGGAAAAACATACCTTGACATATTGGCATGGTAGCTGACCACTGGCCATTCTCTTGACATGCTGTTCTCACAGAGCCATTAAGTAATTGACCCTCTGGACAATGGAAGCTGCAGGTTGATCCATAGCTGAAATTTCCCCAAGGGTTGGAGCAGTTCATCAGTATTGACTCAGTTATGTGTAGCTCAGAGCATTTGATGGCTGCAGAAAAAAATGAATGCAGAAAAAACAGACATGTAGAATGAAGATGAAAGAGATTATGGTTTCATGATCTCTAGAATCATCAGTAGAATGAGAGAATATAAAAGATCAGAAAGGAAATAAGCCACTTCCATTTAAGTTAGTTCCTCCAATATCACACATACTGAGATACTCACTCAGAGAATGACAGCCAAAGAACTAACATGGGCACAGAGTAGCATTCATTAAATGACCGGCTAAAGGACTGACCAGTCTTGCCTATGAAACAGCTAATTCCAAAATTTTCCTCCTAAAAATGCTGTTGTTCTAGATATTATTATCACTACTGGAAATTAGTTGGAATGTAAGTATGTGTTTATTAAATTACTTAATCACTCAGCATAGGTGGCCTTTGAAAGTTTGAACGAAGAGACTGCCATCCTCTTTAAATTATTTTCCAGGGAGCTCCGGGTTATTCTCCCCATTTTCTGGATAGGAAACTAAAACTCAGGATGTTTAATTTAATGTAAATAAATATTGAATGTAGTTATATTTACAAAGCACTGGTCTGTGCTTCATAGGAAATACAAAAATGAAAGAGACACAGCCTTCATGTAAAGGGTGACAGCTCTTCAAGAGGTATCATCCATATTTTACCTTTTTACTTAGGTCCCAATAAGGAACACATGGGAAGTTTATACTGTCAAATAATTAATAGAATAGCAACTTGCATTTCACAATGCATAATAGCTGGATTCATATTTAGCATACTTATTATTCTAACACAGTTTAGACATTTACAACTGCCCGCTCCTTTTCACATTACCTTTGCATGTTGGACCTACTGCTGTCCATTGTCCTGAAGGTCTGCATCTGAGAGCATCATCTCCCATGAGAGTGAATCCAGCTTTGCATCCAAAGTAACAAGTGGTATTCAAACCAAACCTTCCCAGGTGATGCCTACAGGACATTGTTCCCTGGTCTGGAATGATGAGAGCTGGACACTGCACCTCTGGAGTAAGAGCTGATACTCTGCCTGCTGTGCGAAAATGTTTCAATTTAGAGATCTCCCAGTGAAAAGGATAATAAATTATTTAAAAGTGTCCTTGGAGAGATGATTCTCTTGATCAGAAGGAAAAAGTAGAGGCTATGTGTGTGCCAATGTTAATGATGTTAAAAACAAAACAAAACAAAAAATTGGAAGAGTTGGTGCAGAAATAAAAGAGATTCAGTAGAAATTGAAATAGACATAGACCAATTGCTTGCCACAGCTACTTTACTGGGAGGTGGTACTCTCCTTTGGCCAAAAGTCACCATGAAATGTGAGGTATTAATGTCACTGGATTTGTTGTTATTAACTTCTGATGGGTCAGAGAGATAATGGTTGACTTCTATGCACCTGCATTTGAAGAACTGGACCAGTGAGTTCAACCTCCCTCCTTCTAGTCTCTCTGACAATGAAGCAGTGAAAATCACTCAATCAATTCAATAGAGCTCTGAGAAAAGGAGGTCAAAATTATGAAAAATAATTGATTAAGAATCAATATATTTTTATTCAAAAGTATGAAAGTGCTGGGCAGCGAAGCTGCTCACAGCCTCTGCAGCACCGGTTCGATCCCAGGCCGCCGGGAGGGTCCCACATGGTGCTACAGACATCTCCTGCCGCGCCTGCTGCTCCCCTCAGCAGTGTATTTCGTCAGTCTGTCTGTTCTGTTCCCCGCTCTGGCTCTGGTGTATTCTCTCACCTTCCCGCGCTTCTGACCATACCAGTGCTTGTATGAATAAATAAATGAATCTTTAAAAAAAAAAAAGTATGAAAGGTCCTCTCTCTCCTTACAAAAATGTTTAATATATAGGCTATGTTTCCTAGGCCCCAACAGATGGTCTACTTCATAATAAGAAGTGGAACTTTCATTGCAATAATACTATAATATGTTCCTGTCACATAGTAAGAGTTTATATGAGTGTTTGTTATTTTTGTTGAAGAAATTCCCAGAGGAAGAATTGTCTCAGTAAGCATATGCCATCTTACCTTCACAAGTTGGAGGAGGTGCTGTCCATTTTCCAGAAACTGTGCATTTAACATTGTCGAACCCCTCCAATTTAAAGCCTTTGTTACAGAAGAAATGACATGTGGAGCCAAAACTGAATTCTCCATGGGTGTTAGAACAATCCAGGCTTCCCTGCTCTGGGGCAAATAATTCTGGGCACTTGATGGCTGCAGAATCAAATCAAGAATGTCACAATCTGCAAGTTTATCTAGAAGCTCTGTTTTGCATCAAATCATTCATCTATGTTTTCCACAAATATTTACTGATTACCTACTCTGTCAACAAGTATAGTCAGCTGGCATTCCATAACAATATCACAGGTCTTTTATTACAGAGGACAGAGTAGGTATAGTGGGCTTGCTGAGAGGAGTATAAGAAGTCATAAAAATGAAAAATCAAGAACTTAAGCAGTCATACTCATAATCCTCTTCTCTCTAAACCTGTTAAAGTGTCTTTCTAGCCTCCCACATCTCTCACTATCCTGTATGGATGAAGTCCAGGAGTTCATCTCTGCCCTTCCTCCTACCCAAGACTACCTCCTGGTAGTGTCTTGATCAACTTCTATCCTAAGTTATTTATTTTCTCTACTTGGGTCCCTAGCCTATCTTTTAATACCACAATCCATAGCACAGGAAAGCTTAACAGCTCCTGGTCAAGCTAGGTTAATCCCTGGGAATTCCATAAACTGATCTTATGTGTTTTACCTATGGTTCTTGTCTCACACTCTCCTGAACTTCTTCCTACTTCTGCTGAGTAAAATCCCACCCATCTTCCAGGATCCTCTCCAAAACCTCTGCTAACGTCTACAACTTAATATCTCCTCAGAATACCTCCTCTTTTTTTTTTTTTGTAACTCATAATATCACGTGTCATTTCTTTTCTACTGGATGAAAAGCTTCTAAAACCCAAGAACCATGAATCTTGTGTTTCCCACAGCTCACAGCTGCAGGATCTCAGAGTTTGTGCTCAGCAATCATTTGCCAAGTAGACGAAGAGATGAACATTTAACTTACTAACCACTTCCCTCAAAAAATATTTTACATAAATTATTGCAGTTATATACTTTTCTTAGCATAATATTCTTCTCCTCCTTAAGTCCTCTGACATAGACTTTTATTTATCAACAAACATTGGATGATTAGCAAGCACAGTGATTATTGTTTCTTCAAAATTCAACGTTATTCTGAAAGCAATGCCTTGGTCAGGAAAGACTAATTTTACTTGGCTATTTTGCCTTAAAAATAGTTCTTGAATCTTTTGTAATGCCTCATAGAAAAGTGACATATTTTGTCACATATTCTGGCTAATGTATTTATGAATGACAGTTCACTCACCAAAGGATTGTAGAATTTTTTTACATGAATCCACTGAAAACAACCAAAGTAGCACATTGATTTTCAATTTAATACTCTCAAATTTTTGAGTTTCAATAAATCCATGCTTTGCAGTTCAATTTTATCAAACATGTATTATAATTGTTATAATCATAAACTCTAAATTATCTGTGAGAATTTTCACTACCTTGACTTTACCAGAGTCTCCCAATATTTCCTAGTTAAGCCCAAGAGAGTGCATAAAATCAGATGCCTGAGAACATGGGTCTTGTATCCCAGGGATTCAAGAGGGGTGCTGGGCCTCCCCGGTGGCACAGCGGTTGAGTGGTGGGCTGCGAAGCTGCCTGCAGCCTCTGCAGTGCCGGTTCGATCCCCCGGCCGCTGGCGAGGGTCCCACATGGCATGACAGACCTCTCCTGCCGGGCCCGCTGATGCCCTCAGCAGTGTATTTCGTTAGTCTGCCTGTTCTGTTCCCCGCTCTGGCTCTGGTGAATTCTCTCACCCTCCCGCACTTCTGACTGTACCCAGTGCTTGTATAAATAAATAAATAAATAAATCTTTAAAAAAAGAAAAGAAAAGAAAAAAAGGGGTGCAAAAATATTTGCAAAAATGAATAAGTTAGCACAATTTTATTTGGATGCACCCTAAAAAATATTTTTATCTGGTCTGAAAAGAAACAAGAGGAACTACTATTTAAAAAAATGATTCAAATGGCTGGCATATACAAAGAGAATTACTACAACATAAAATACACTGGGGATGTTGCTTTGGTCACAATTTTGTCATTCTTGTCCTGTCAAGGTTATAGAGCCTGCCATTTGTTTCTCTAAAAGTCTCTGAGCCCTCTGATGTGAAAATTAACCAGTCCAATCAAAGACCTCGAAATAACTTTAAGGTTTTGACTTTGAATTGTGTCCAGAAGTATGTTTTCCTGTCTGAGCTGTAGCCTTGATAAGGTACAGGAAAGCCTAACCTAGTCTGGGATATGATGGCCTTGAGCAAACAGGCTGAGTTAAATTTGGCAGCTACTGGAGTGCAGGGGCCAAGTACGATGTAGAGGGAGAGAGTGTCACTAGAAGGAATGACTTCTAGGGGTAACTTTGAAAAGTAGTCATGTTCTTTTTTTTAAGATTTATTTATTCATGCATGCAAGAACCAGGGTACAGGCCAGAGGTGTGAGGGGGGTGGGTAAGAGGATTCACTAGAGACAGAGTGGGAAGCAGAACAGGCAAACTGACTGAAATACACTGATGAGGGGAGCAGCAGGCAAGACAGGAAAGGTCTGCACAGCCCTGTGTGTACCCCCGCGGCCTGCGAGGATCGAACCCGCACTGCAGAGGCTGCAGACAGCTTTATAGTGCTGAGCTCAACCACCTGCTCCACCAGGGAGACCCCAGTAGTCATATTCTTGAGCCTACTCTAAAACTTTGTTCCAAAACAAGTAATTACAGAAAAATAGGAAATTGATGAGTTGCTTTTATCACTTGTTTACTGCTCTGTTTTCATTGCTTTCTGAGATAGAGCAGTCTACCATCATGCCTTCAGTGATGTTTTTCTGTAATCCATGAAATATGTGTACATGATTGTATGCAAATTCATGGATTATTAGGTTCATCCGCACTCTATCATTGACCTACAATATGTTTATTTATATTACTTTAAGTAGATTTAGTAAATTCTTCTAAGAAATAGTAAATTCTGTTTCTTTTTACTTGAATTGGATATAACTTTATCAAGAAATTTTTTGAATGAAGGTAGAGCATAAATAATAAATTTAACTATTTGGGTGTTCTAAATTCAAACTCCAAAAATAAAGAGTAGGAACTCCTAGAGATATGTTAAAGATATAGAGAAAAAAATAGTGATGTGAGCCAGGTCAGAACTTGGAGGGCACAAGTTAGCTATATTTTAGAACTTGGATGAGCAGGGACAGGATGCAGATAGGGTGGTGACTTGGAACCAGAACCTCCTCTCCCCACCAAGGTGAAGCTGGTCATTAGGCGGTAGGTCCACCAGCCAAACATGGTCTCCAGAGGGTGAGTGACAAAGTGATTGGAGAGCAGTGATCTCTGTCAGGATATTGTCCCAATAGGTGGTGGTTTGGGGGCCACAGCAACTGGATAAGAGCAAGTCAACACTACTTAGGATCAGGGAATGCATTTCAGGTCTTGGAGGAAGAGGACTGGAAAGGCAGAGCCCAAGTCCTAGAAGGTCTAAAGGATATATCAGTGGGACCACTCAAATCACAAATCTCACATTGCACTCTGAAGCAGAGGAATGCCACATTGCCCCCGGTGACTCTCAATACCTTCTGATATAGCTAGGACTCCATAAAACACTATGTGAAAATCAGGGTCCTGGGATTGGTGTTGAAGACTTAAAAGTTCATAGACTCTGGCATATAGGAAAAAAAGAGGGGCTCTTTGCCTACATCTAGAGACTAAATTTGGAGAATGATGTAGAAACACAGGTACAAAAACCAGGCTTAGGCTTGTTGTTGATTCTGGGGCCCCTCTTTGTTAAAGCTCTTTCCATGAAAAGGGTTGGATCTAAATCCTAGGTGGGGTGGGACTGCAAGGTGTGGGAGGGGGCTGGAGAGGAGTGAGGGGAGAGAGAGGTTTTGAAGATTTAACAACCTTGTTGGTTGCATGTATGATGACAACTTCAATGAGATAATTCTTAGAGTTTCCTTTTATTCTTTAGCCTTAAAACAGAATGTGAGAAAAACAGAGTTCATGCTAAATGTCAATGGAATAAATGAGTGAATGAGTGAAAATTAAGCGATGAATGATAAAACACTGACCCTAATTATTACCCATAAATGGTCTAGATTCCTGAATAGGCTTGTAGTATATTTTTTGGACAGTAGATGGTGGCATTTTATATACTTTAACCTACAAAATTCTTGACAGCAGAAGGGACCTCAGCAATGATCTTGCATACTCCTTTCGGAATCAGGAATCAGGTATGACATGACACCTGATTTCAGAAAAGAGCAATACAGGTCTTTAGATATCAATCTACTGCTCTTTCATTCCACAAGAAGGAGTAAAGATTTTAGCTTTTTTCCTATAACATTGATGGATTTCTATCAATAGATTCATCATCTGATCATCAGACACTGCCACTTCTAAGTACATTTCAGCACTGTAGGCGGCAACCTGGGTAATGGAAAAAAATAAATTTGCAAGTCACTGCCTTGGAACTTAGAAACCTTGGTACTGGGTGGCAGTGTAGTGTGGTCTAGGTAGAAACGCTGGCCTATAACCTAGCTCAAATCCAAGATCCATACTTACTAGCTATTTGAACTTTTCCAGCTATATATCCTCTCAAAGTCTCTGTTTCTTTATGGGGATAATAATAACTATGTTAAAGAATAATGTATGATAATACATTTGAAATACCTGGGGCTTATTACACAAGTAATATTCTTATTATTGTTGGAATTGTAATTACTGAGTGTACTGGACAAATTGAAGCAATGATGTATTTTGAAAGTAAACAGCTATGAATTAGTTGATTGAGTAAACTTCCATTTTAGAACTTACTATGTACTAGCTACTACAACATCAGTTGTTTTGGAGGCATCAAGGACAGATGAGATCTGACTCTTTGAGGATCCAGTAATTCACTGGGGACTAGTATTGAGTAAATTAAACCAGAAAATGATAAGCTTCAAAGGACATATTTTTATCACACTTCCACTTTTATTCTGTCTAGTTCTAAAGGGGATGCAAAGATGAAGAAAGCACAGCTCCTGCACATAGAGAGCCTATAATCCATATAGGTGTAGAGGGAGGCAAGACCTAACACAAATGATGAGATGACAAGGTCCTCAAGGGTTTAGGATAAATGAGCTCAGTGTCCAGGGCTGGCTCAGTGGGGTGACTGGAGGAATGAAGTGAGAAGTAGAAAAATGTAAGGGAGTGGGAGTCTCAGTGACATAGCTAAACATCATAACTTAGCAGTATGAGTTTTGACTGAGTACTTACCCTCCCTGAGCATGGCTCCTTATCTATAAGATGGATATAATACAGCCTGTCTAGAATTGTGGTAAATTTCAAATGTCATAATCACATGAAGACATCTAAAAAAACTAAAATGTTTTATTAAACATTATTATAAGAATACACAGAGAGGAAGAAAGAGCTTTTGCTCTAGGAACCATATTTGATGGGAAGTGTGTTACCTTTAGCTTAAGAACAGTTTCACACTATTCCCCAATGATTCTCCATCCTAAAAGATCACCTAAAAAACCAAAAAAAAAAAAAAAAACAGACCAGTGAGCCTACCTTCACATATTGGTGGGGAACTCGTCCAGTGTCCAGATGGGGTACAATCCAGTCTCGCTGGTCCAGACAAAGAGAATCCCTCATCACAAGTGAACTGGCATGTAGACTTGTAACTGAACTCTCCAAGAGGTTGGACACAGGTCATTGTTCCATTCAGAGGGCTTAGCAGAGGCGTGCAGGTGATGGCTGACATGGGCATGGGGAAAGAGGAGAGGAAAGATTGTTTTAGAACATAACAGCCTGAAATCAACAAAGAGTGTGTGTGTGTGTGTGTTTGTGTGTGTTTGTGTTCTTAACACACAAGAGAAGCTTTGGTTAGAAATGATTATTTGAATTTCATGGTGTTTTATCACCAGGTCATGGATGTATAAAATATCAGCAGCTTACAGCTGACTGGCATTCTGAAATGCTCATCCACAGAGAGCTTTGGAGATGATTTTAAAAGAAAATGGTACTGTGCTTGAAAATAGTGATGCAGTTCATTTCCCCTGGACAGGAGTGGAAGTGGCTACTACCTTGATATCTTCAGAAGCAGACCTTGCCAGAAAGCAAAGGCAAATGATTGGAAATAGGAAAATGGAGTAAAAGACCTCTCCCATCCTACTTCAAAAGCTCCTCTCCTTACCAGGTGATGAAAATAACCTGGGTTCAAATTCTGGCTCTTACTTATTAACAATATATCTAGGGACCTTAAGCTTTCTGAGTTTCAATTACTTCATCTATGAAATGGGAGAAAATAATCCTTGCTTTTCAGGGATACTTGGTTTTAGAAAAATAATTAAATCATACATAAAAACTAAATTTTAAAATATTTGAAAAATCATGGACACAAAGTAGGCACATAATGTAATTGGACATCTTCAAAAACTCTTTCTATATATCTTATCCTACAGAGAACAGCCCCATATGACTCTACTTGCTCACTTACCAAAAAAGTAAGTGGTTGTTTGTCACAGTTTACACATATAGAGTTTAAAGTGCTTGGGGACTTGCTTACGTTGGAGATCATGCACTGGCTTTTGGCAAATCACTTAACTTCTCTGAGCTTCAAATTCTTTACCTTTAAAATGTGGAGAATAGCATGATATAGTTCTAGGAATTTTACAAGAATCAAAAGTAAAAAAAAAAAAAACTATATGCAAATGTTAATAACTATCGAGAAGTCACTGCCACCTAATGGAATAAAAAAGATGAAATATATTGACATTACAAAATGAAGACTGAGAGAATACATGGTTTAGGGTATTTCTTCATGGATTGGTCTGAGTATGACTTTATAGCACATGGTTCACGATAGACCCTTACAAGTTCTATTAAAGGCCCTTGTAAGGAGTTGTAAGGGGTTTCAAGGGTATTTTCTGTACCTGATCCTCCCTTCATCCTTTTCCATTTTCCAGCAAACATTCAAACAATCCAAAGACCTAACTATTTTGTACCACTTCAAAAATCCCTATGTGTTCAGTGTATATCTGTGTGGTGGGGGTGTGGGGAGGAGAACAGGGGACATGTTGAGGAGCCTATAAATTGTATGGAAAATTGGGAGGGTCTTATGTCAGGGAGTCCATTTCCAGCTCTTTTTGTGGCCTGACCTGGCTGATAATTTGGGTGGGGTTAGGGGACAAAGAAAAGGGAAATTGTCTGATAACACTCTCTGAGAAGGATTACAACAGCATATGGATTGCAGGCCTCATGGTACCTTCCTGTTCAGTGTACTTTTTGGTTATTTCACTCCATGCTCAGGCAGCAGCAAGAGAAGTTTAGTCAGTGTAAACAAAGAACTAAAAGCAGAAGAAAACTGGAACTGGAAGGTCAAAGGAAGTAATGTGGTGAGTGGCAACCTCCCTGCTGTGAAACGCCCAAGGGTAGGACAGTGTGAAGCAACGAACTGTAATCTGTGCCTTGCACAGCCCAGGTTGCCCGGAAGAGTTCTGATCACTGTGCTAACCCTGTTCGGGGGCTCCAACTTCTTCCCCAAAGTGTGTGGACTTTGTAATCTGTCCAGTCTTCACTATAGCCAGGTTGAGAGCTGAGGGGGAAAGTTCACAACCTCCCCTTGTCACTCCCGACGCAGCTTGGAAGGTGGACCCAACCCCAGCTCAAATCGAGTACTATATTCTCTGAGGCATGAGGAATGACAGTCAATTCTGCTGCATTTATTCATTTACTCATTCATTTATTTACGGTTTACCTATCTTAGCAGTGGGGTGTATATACGTGTGTGTGTGTGTACATGCTCACATGTGGTCTGTATAGCAAGTGGTTTCCTCTTCATTAAAAACACGTATCTGATCACTTTCACTCTGATGTTGAAAGTGTACAAAGTGACAAATGAAGGCAAACAATGCAGAATTATCTAGCATTTTGCCTATTTAAGTTTATTATTAAAATTGTATACACATCTATTAATTGCACTGGGGAAAATGTTGAAGATTCACCCAGAATGCTAACAGTGTCTAATTTAGGGTGAAAGTATGAAGTTATTTAAGAGGATTCTTTCTGTTTCTCTATTTTTTTCTAGCTTCTATAAATGAAAACCTTGCTTTTTGAAAGTAATATTTGTCAAAAAAAAAGTTACTAAATAAATGGATTCATTGAGTGGAAAAAGTAATGGGAGGGTATAAAAAGCATTTATCTGGACTTCAATTCCCACACATAGATGATTCAAAATAGTTTTACTTCATATAATATTGACAGAATACTGTATTTTCTATCAAGTACAATGTAGATATACATGCATGTGCTGAATATGCATGTTTCTTTCTTCTGAGAATTGTGTCACCTTGCATTTATAGATTAGTTTCTTCTTCTTTTTATTTTTTCACTTTATCCTAAATGTGTTTAATATACAATTGTGGAGGATATTTGTAGCCAGGCACCTAAAAATTATGTCCCTCCTATTCCATTCTATACCCATGGATTGTTCCCTATTCTGTCATTGTACTCCATGGCTCCTTGAAGTGTAGGTCAGCCTTGGGACAATCACCCTGAAGCTATTTTTTCCCTCCTTTCCAGATGCTGTTTGTGTCCAGGTGTGAAAGTTCATCTGGTTCACGATAGGCCTTTACAAGTTCTATTAAAGGCCCTTGTAAGGAGTTGGCAGGAGCCATTACCCAGCTCCTTCTGCCAAACTTGTATTATTTGTTTAGTACCTGAAGACATCTTCATCTGGGATCCCCAAGGTACAAGATGAACATGTTTATTCACTTTCCAATTCATTTCATGTGTCTGACCCTTTGACAGTTACGACCTCTAAAATGTAGCCTTCTAAAATGTAGCATGCAACTTTTTTTCCAAGATGCTGGAAAAGAATTCATCTTACCTTGGCATTCTGGAGGAGGAGCACTCCAGTCCCCAGTATCCAAGCATTGCAGGACTCTTGCTCCCACGAGGAGTAAGCCTTTGTCACAGGTGAAGCTGCAGGTTGACTGGTACTTAAAGGCACCAAAGGGGTGGGAGCAGTTCAGTTGGGCCTTGTCTGGAGCCAGAAGATCCTGGCACTGCACAGCTAAGGATTAAGGAAGCAAGGAAATAAGGAAACTGTAAAGCACATATACTCATTGATTTCTACCCCTTAACCCTTTTTAGTGCCAAGGGATTTTGGAATTGGACATATTTATGCTTATGGAAGATAAGTGTCATTTAATCACAATAGCACATGAAGGATTTTATGAGGAAAATGATGAAAATTTTGGCAATATGTAGCAATAATCTTTGAGATGTCATATTTTGGGGCCTAAGAATCTATGCTAAGTATATAATTGAGATGCATATAAAATCAATTCACAGATTCCTTTTTTATCAAGACTATTCATAAGAGCAAAGTATGGAAAACAAACATAAATGCCACTAATAAGAGGCTGAAGATAAATTATGATGGCTACCTGAAGGAGACATTAAAGGTCACTAAAAATTGTATATTTCACCTTGAAAAGCTATGGGGCATTTTTCAATGCATAATCTTAAGTTAAAAAGGAGAATAAAAATGATTTATACTGCATGATCTCAATCATTAAAATAGGTGGTTGCATACGGAGAGAACACTTTTATTCTATATGTTGTCTTTTCTCATCTTTATGTGAGCATTAATTGTAATGACCTCATGGAGTAAAGTACTTATACATATCTGCTTATTACTGTTATTAGCAGTAGTAGGAATAGCAGTAGTGGTAGAAGTAATAGGTAAAAGTAATAGCATTAAAGTTACGCATCAGTTGCAAACCCTGAATGTCAGGGTGAAAAACATGAGAAAGGGCCTATCAAAGGAGGAGCTGAGACTACATTTCTGGATGCTTAAGAGAACATCTTTTCTATATCATTAGAAGTTTACCTGCTTGGAGACAAACATGGCTCTAGGGATCCCTTAAGTTCCCTTTGTTTTAAACATGTGAAAGGTCTCTTTGTGTCTGTCTCAGACAATTCTTCCACAATACACCCCATCACTCTTACTAAACCTCATTGTCATGGTGCATGACCTTCTATTCCTCTACTGCCTCACTGGTGTGTTTTTCAATTATGGTAAAATACAAGTAGCATAAAATGTGTAAGTTACCACTTAACCCTATTTAAGTGCAGAGTTCAACGATATTAAGTGTATTCTTCTTGTGGTGCCACCATCCATGTCCAGAACAGTTTTCATAATCACACACTAAAACTCCATACTGGTTAAACAGTACCACCCATTCTCCATCCCCACAGCTCCAGCCCTATCATTCTACTATGATTTTGATTACTCTAAGTATCTCATGTAAGTGGAATGAAGCAATTTTTTTGCACTAATTTATTTTACTTAGCATAATGTCCTTGAGGTTTGCCCATATTGTAGTATACATCAGAATTGCCTCCATTTTTAAGAGTGAATAGTATTCCTTTATATATATATGCCACATTTTGCTTATAAATTTATCCATTGATGGACATTAGGGTTGCTTCCATATTTACATTTTAACAATTATGAACATGTAGAATGCTGCTGTGAACATGCAGAAATATCTCTTTGAGATCCTGCTTTTAAATCCCTCTCTCATTTTAAAATGAGAGTATACATAGACCCAGGGGATTCACATAAATTGCCCTGAGAACCCTGTAAATGGCAATCAAAATGCCGCCGACAATGCCTTCTGGGACATGACTTCTGTGTGGGGTACCCCATTTAAAAAAATAATCCCAGTGATCTTCCTGTGCCTAATTCTTGAAAAAAGAGCATGAATTCTTTAAAAGAAAGAATGAAAGAAGATCATTTTATAAAGTCAGATTACAGACTTTTAAGGTAATATCAGCATCCTCATTATTTTACCTACGTTTGTTAAGCTTTTACACACAATAATTCACTACCATTAGTGAGGCAGGTAGGTAAGGCAGGCAGAGGGATTTCCATTTTACTGAAAACACTGAGCCTCAGGACAAAACTTGTTGCCAGGAAATGACTGAGTTCAGTGAAAGGCCTCATCCATGACCCTTCTACCATTCCATTTATTTTTTTTTTTTTTTTTTTTTTTTGTGGGACCCTCGCTGGCAGCCAGGGAACGAACAGGCGCTGCAGAGGCTGTGGGCAGCCTCACAGCCCAGCGCTCAACCGCTGTGCCACCAGGGGAGGCCCCATTCCATGTATCTTTCCTCATGTATCTTTCCTTCCTTCTACCCCATCTCCTTCACACCAACCCACCCTACACTTACCTCACACTGAGTAACAATGTGTTGTAATGAGCATGTTTTGTCTGAGATTGGCTTTGCTCACCACTTCATCCCTAATGCCCAACACAGCCTGGCATAGAGTAGGGCCTTAGTGAATGTCTGATGAGTAAATGAATGACAATGCTAAATGCCAATACCAATGCCTTTAATAAGCTGCAAGCACAGAAGAAGCATATAAAATTACCTTGACAGACTGGGACTGGTGCTGTCCATTGTCCCAAATTAGTACACCGAACTATGTCAGCTCCTATCAGTATGAAACCCTCAGCACAATGAAAGCTGCAACTACTGTTGTACTGAAATGCTTGCAAGGATGGAGAGCAGTCCAGGCTTCCATGGGTAGGACTCTCCAGTGGCTCACAGGCAGTGGCTAAGTGGAGAAAGTTATCATGTGAAACTGGGCAAATAGAAGTTCTTTCTCAGACGAGTCCCTTGAGAAATGGTCCGTCTTTCCTATCTATGCTGTCAGTATGTTCAGAACCCTAAATCCTCCCTTTACCTAGAACACCTTCCCAGGTCCCTGCCCTTCAGGTCTCAACTTAGTCTTCATCTTCCTTCAGAGACTGTTCCTGTCCACCCCAACTTGGGGCTCGGAGCTCCTCCACTGTGCTTTCCCAGCTACTATTATTTCACTGTTCACCCCCTGCCCTTTAGACTGCAGTCTGTTTGAGGCTGGGATCAGTTGTGCATGGTTGTATCCAGAGCCGAGTAGTGTTTGCTCTATCAAATGTGTTCTTGAAATATTTATTGGTATTATTTGTAGAGTTGGCTCTGGAAAGAGAAGACATAAAGAGGCTGGACTTTTAAGGAAAAGGCTGGACTAACATAACATTGTTGACACTCTATTACCTATACCTACAAAATGATCCAAGTGGTCTTTGTTTTTGAAACACAGAATGTCATCCTAATCAGATTTCAATTGCCAAGTGAATGCAGCCCATGGTGAGTTCCTGAGCACAATTAAGCCATGAGCAAAATCAGTTTTGATAAAATCTGGTTTCCTTATACTCTTCCTTGATAAAGCAATTCATCTCTAGGCTAATCCTGGGTATTTTCAGAGTATCCAGAGCACCTTATACTGTGGCCTTCGGCTTCTGGGTTTTATAGAATTGGGACAGTTAAGAAGCAAAGACCTTGTAGTGATTCTCTCTTACTTTACTGATAAGAAAAGTGAGTGACTTCCCAAAGGCTTCATATTCAGAAAGTAGCAAACCTGGGATTGTAATCTAGATTTCCTGGAAATTCACTAATCCAACCTTTAATTTCCTGCTACCTTACTTCTCCTTTCTGTCTTGTAAACTGAGGGTATGAGGCAATAGCACAAAATCCAGTTTTGTAATTTTATATAACTGCCTAGGATTGCATTATCTTCTTTCTACGCAATGTTCCTTTGCTCCTTTGTCAATAACTACCACCAGACACGACCATGAGGAATCTCTCTCTTTGTCCTAATGGTCACTTTAAAAAAAAAATTCCCTTTCAAGTTTAGGACATAGATCACAGCTAAAATGATCATATTAACTATACTCAATCCTTAAATTCTCATTATTGTACTGTTTTCATTGTGTAATTGGCAAATCCATGCCCACAGCTAGAGAATAATGGTGAATGCACCTGTTGAAATCCAGGTGTAGCAAGGGTCTATCAGGGTCAGGAGGCCCTAATGAGGTTTGTCCAGACTTGCAATATGATCTCAGGGTGACCTGAATCTCTTAAAATATAGACTGCTCCAAGATTTTTCTAAAGTCCTCTATCCCTTTTACTACTATAAACCCGCCCACGTAGGTCTTCTAGCTTCTACTTACAAATATAGTTGCCCTCATTTCCCCACTTACATGAAACATATAAATGAGGTCATTCTGACACTGTATAAGGGCTGTGAGTTTGGGGGAAGGAAAAATTTTTGAATTATGTTTGTAGTAAAATCAGCCTTGTGTTTTTCTAGAGTCTGGCACTCTTTTTCCATCCCAGGTGTACCCATATAACTAGCAGTAGATAGGAGAATCACATCATGGCAATTCAGGCCACTTTCATCTGATTCCTAGGAAGAACTGGGCAGGGGACACTCTACTTCCCCAAATATCTAAAACTCACCTTTACACACTGGAGCTGAGGCTGTCCACATCCCTGAAGCTGTGCACTGTACCTCCTCTGGCCCAACTAGTTCAAATCCCTCTTGACAGCTGAAGCTGCAGCTGGACCACAGTGGGAATGTTCTTGCAGAGTGAAGACAGGTCATGCTACCTTGCTCTGGAGTCTTCAGGGCTGGGCACTGGGTGGCTAAAAACAACCAGAGATCCTTAGTCCTTGTTTATGTTCAGCATCTTGGAAGCTTTTGGGTTCTGCAGCAGCTATCTATACTTTCCCCAGTAACAGGCAAGGTGATGCACTTGTTGGTTAAATGGTACTTTCAGTAGCTATTTGAAAAGATCCAAATACCTTAATATTGACTTACTTTTTCAAAAAGCAAGTCAAATGATCACATTAATAAAACTCGATCCATAAGTTCTGATTATTGTACTCTACTCACTTTGCAATTAACAAAGGGCTAGGCATCCTTTGGTAATTTATTTGCCAGCCAATCAGAAGTTAAACAGATGACCTCACTTTACAGACATAAAGTACCATGGCAATTGCAATTAGTGTCACATGGTTAATAGGTGATTGAAATAACCAGAATTTCCCATCTAATGTAGATCCTGATTCTTTCATTTTTTTTTTTTCCCCAAGAAGAAAGCTTATTCTCTCCTCTGTAATTCTAGTTGTTTACAAGGATGTAAACATTTGGGGGTATATACCTATACACTCTGGGGGCTTATTTGTCCAGATTCCAGAAGCCAAACATTCCACATTGCCAGGTCCGTTCAACTTGTAACCTTCAGCACAATGGAAGCTGCACGTTGAGTTGAAAGAGAAGTTTCCTAGAGGGTGGCTACAGTTCATGAGCACATGATGAGGGAGGTCAAGTTCTCCACACTCGCTGACTGTGGAGACAGACAAAATATTGATTTTTTTTTCATTGCAGCCTGAAAGACAATGTCAAGTTTGCTGAAAGCTAGAGCTGTCTTCTTAGCCTCCTAACCCAGCCTGGTCATCCTTATGTGGTTCTTTGAGTTGGAAGCGTCTGGAAAACTCATCACTCTTTCACTGGTTTTTACTTCAAACAAGTAAAATTAGTCAGCTGCCTTAATGTTTTCCTTCTAGATTTTGAATTTTTATGAGCAAATATTTAAAGAGTACAGTGATTTTACCTGAAGTGTGTCTCTAGAGCTGACAAATCTAGATTGAAGCAGACTGACAGATGATAGGGTCCAGAACTAGCCTTTATTCACTGTAGTCTCCAACATAATTTACTGCCTGGCATCAACTATACCAAGACCAATGACTATAATAATATCAACACAACAGTGGCCTCACCGTATTCACATTCTTGTCCATAGAACCCAGGGAAACAGGAGCAGGTGTAGTTCCCAATGGTCTCGATGCACTCGCCTTGCATGCTGCAGGACATGTCCTGGCAGGAGGCTGCACAAATACAGAAGGGTCATAATCATGGGCATTTCCAGGAGACGTGCAGAAAAGCTGGATTCTTGTTCCAAGTCACAGACTCAGCCTCTCTTGGGTTAGATTGCACCAGCTTGAACAAAAATCCACAGCATTCTCTGGAGAGCAGCCTATAAGAAAACATGATGCTAGAGCATCATGTGGTTTCTGTTTTGGGTTGCACCTAATGTTTCCTAGGGAGAAATTGCTATGTGTGGACAGAAGGTACAAAAGGAGCCACCAACAGATACATTATAGTATGTATTCTGTTCCTTATTGGTGAAGGCTTCCAAGGGGAGGCATCTATAATCTAAAGAATGTAGAATATGGATAGCACAGTGTATACGCATACATCATCTGTAAGATGATTTATAAAAGATTATGCAGAAATTGTATGGGGAATATAAAAATAAAATTTATTATTTAAAAAAAAAGATTATGCAGAGTGTTAAAAGTAAAAAAAGTAAAAAAATGTAAAAAAAGATTATGCAACTCTCTTGCACAGGACAATCAATGCGCTTCCTAACCCTGGTATTCCTAGCCCTTAGTGCTACCCAAGGTGGGAGGGCCTTCTCTGGATGGAAAGCCACATCATAGGGCTAGGATCAGCTCTAGTACCAGGCATATGACTACAAGCAGAAACAAGCTCTCATGCATATGTGCTTACTTTAGAACTGGGAGAGTGGAGAATCAAATATACTCCCAGGATCTTACTTTCAGTTACATCTTCCTTTTCCTCATCCACCCCAATCCTCACTAAAGTCCAGTAAACCTGAAGCTATGTTGTTGTTGTGGGAATCTGTAAAGCATTGGTGATCCTTGGTCATGTTCTCAAGTTGTCTCATGATAATGTTGAGAAAAGAGTGTGGTATCAAAAGAATGTGGTAGCATATGTGGCTAAAAAACACCAACTCTGGAGTCAGTATGAGTTTTGAAACTGGTCTTATCATCATGTAGCTTAGTACCTTGGGCAGATTCCTTGATATCTGAGCCTTTATCTTTTTAGCAAAACGAGAGCACTAGACAAACCTAATTGATGAGGTTCTTTTTTTTCTTTTTTATGAGCATTTTTATTTTATTTTATGTATTTTTACATCATTTTTCATTTTTGCACAATGTATGCATTTTCATCTTGGTTATAGTCCCCATACAATTCCCATCCTCCCCTTGTTTTGATCCTACCCCACTCACTCCCCCCCATAGTATCTCTGGTTTATAGTTGCTTGTTGATTTTGATTTTTACTTTATTATAATTAGTCTTTTTCCTGGTCCCTTGATGAGGTTCTTATGAGAACTAAATGCAGTTCCTACTGAATGGACTAATAATACATGAATGAATAACAGTGCCTGGAACATACTGGTGTCCAGTAGGCATTATACTGTGTCTTCTAGGGGCAGGGCTGAGTTCCCTTTACTCTATTATGCTAGGACACAAGTAGTGAAAAAAAACCTCTGGACATAAATTTTATGAGGCTATAACTTCCTGAACATCTAGTCCATCAGTTATAAAATGAGAAGAATGGCCAGGGTAATATTAAAATTCCTCCCAGTTACAAAAGGCCAGTTTTCTCTAATCCTAATCTTATGTTCTTCAAGGTACTCAATGACACTGATAGGTTAATAGTCCATTCTTTGTTTTCATTTATGTCCCTGGGTTTGTGACCCCATTATTTACTCAGTGGTTGTATTAACCAATCAGGGAAGGCATAGTTTTTAAACAAATTTCAGAGTAGAAAGACCCTACCTTTGTAGCACAGTGCCCGTTTTTTTTTCCCACAGGGCTCATCATTCCACTTGCCAGGGGCCCGTGGGCTCTTGATGTAAATTTCCACGCAGTCCTGGTTGTTCTTCTTGTTGTTGGGCTCATTGTCAGCCCAGTTCTCAGCCTCTTCAGTGAGAGGCTTTTTGGTTCCCACCCAGGTCCATTTATTATCTATCTTTCGTATCCCAATCCAGTAATAAGAGCTGTAATAAGGCATGACATCATTGAGGTAAGTAATTTCATGTTTATTCTGGATGGCCACTAAATCTGTGAAGTGCTTCTGGCAATATGCCCGGGAAAAATTCCATGAGTATGCTAAGGTAGTATAATGATAAGTCCATGCTGCCACTTCTTTCTGATTCATTAGTTCTAAGAAAAGGAAAAAGAGTGCCAGGTTGGTATCCCTTACCAGGAAGCTGTGAGCATAAATATGCTTCTTTGGTCAGCAGAGTTTCTGACCAAAAGACAAATATCCCAAGCATGACAGTTTTATGTCTAATCTCATTGTTTCAAGGAAAAAGAATGGTTTCCATCTTTCACTTAAAATTATAGATGCCTGAAGACTGCAAAAATGCTTAAAACAGGGCCTCCCTGGTGGTGCAGGGGTTAAAGTCTCAGTGTTGTCAAGCTATCGCCAGCCATTTCACCATGAGCCACTGCGATATGAGTTTGATCCCCAGCCAGGGAGGTGACACATATGCACAGACACATCTCTCCTGTTTTGCCTGCTGTTCCCCTCAGCAGGGTATTTCAGTAGATCTGCCTGTCCTGCCCCCCACTCTGTCTCTGGTGAATCCTCTCTCTTCCCTGCACCTCTGGCCTTCACCCAGGTTCTTGTATGCATAAAAAAGTGAAAAATAAATATTTTTTAAAATGCTAAAAGCAAAAACTAATTAGAAGGGGCATATGCACTTTAGTGTTCATTGCAGCACTACTGATATTGTCAAGTGATGAAGCAACCTAAATGCCCAAGGCAAATGAAGGGATAAAGAAGATGAATACTTCTCTGTGATTAAAAAAAGGGTGAACTCTTGACATTTGTGGCAACATGGATGGAACTGGAGGGAATAATGCTAAGCAAAATAAATCAGAAGGGGAAAAATATCTCATGGTTTCACTTATATTAGGAATATAAAGAAACAAAAAAGCATCAGTCAAAACCAAACCAATAACAAGCCCTAGAAATATGACTGTGGAATTAAGGTGAGCATAGGAGGGTGGGGAGAATGGAGAGGAAAATGGTGTTGGGGCATGGTGAACTGTGGTAGAGGACTGTGGGTGCCTTGGTGGTGGGTGTGGGGTGGTGACATACATCTGAGGAGATGTGACTCATGCCTCTGAATCACAATGTGATAAACCAATGTTGCCTCAATAAGATTAAACATCTTTTCTATAAAAAGAAAAATGAAGAGAAATATACATAAAACTAGAACAGGAAAATGTCCTCTGCTGAGGATCCTTGGTATGAAAGATGTGGAATAGAAGATACCACATTTGGAAGGGACCTGGGAGCTCATCTAATCTTCACCACCTTTTATAAATAGAGAATTAAACACTTTGCCCAACTTCAAGTTAAATGACACTTAAAGTGTCTTGTTACCTGCCTCATATTTATAGATTCTACCTCTTCACATGGAAGATAAGAAACTATATGACCTGGAGTCTATCTGCTGGCCCAGCATCCTAACCTACCATATTTGCTTTCTAAGAAAAACAATTCCCATATCTATACCTTTTTACAAGCTCTTCTGCTGTCCTGGTTTCCTTTCCCCTTTATGCCTGGTAAACTTTTCCCTTCCTCTCCTTTGTACCAATAGGCTTAGTGTTCCTTCTTCCAGGCTCCCACTACACCTGTCTGTGCCATGTATTGTAATGTCTATTTCTATTTTACCAAACCTTTTAATATGTTAAAATGTTTTTAGACAAATAATTTCTGGAAATGTTCATCTTTTCCAACTCCCTATTTCTATCACCTGGTCCACACCTGTTAGGTTATGAATCCTGATAGTGGTCTCTTTTTAGCTCTGAATCCTTAGCATCAAGCACAGAACTTGGCACTTATTAGATACCCAAAGAACACTTGTTCCATGAGTGAAACACAGTGAGTTTGTGGGAGATGCAAGTAGAAATCAAATCTCCTGATTTGAAAACTTATACTCATCTGCAGTTCTTGGCTTCATCTCTTAGACAAATTATTCTATTTCCTCCATCTCTGCTTACTCACTTGTTAAGCTTGTTAAGATAGTGCTCAAAACAATCCTTTATGGGTGTTTGTGAAACAATGTGCTCTTCAAAAGTATAAAGGGCACCATAATACTAGATATTGTTATCACAGCCAGTGGGTGCTCATCCGACCCAGGAGAGGCCAGTGTGTAATGCAAGCAATCAGGCCTGGAAATGGGTCCCTTTCCTGTTTATGAAGCTATGTTCCCATTCAACCCTCTGCTCTGCTACAAGCATGAGAGGGCTGATTACATTTACTCCCTCACTGATACTTTTTTTGTCCTACTTTGCTGTAAGACTTTAACGTTGCCACACCTGCACTATGATGTTCATGGATTCTCAGCAATTTGGTCTTTGAAGACCCTTTCTTTCATAGTAACATATTAAAAACTAAATTTTACAACTGAATTGGTATAAAGATGAGAACATTAATATATTAAGATATTTTCTTTGACCTAGGAAAGAATGATTTTTAAAGAAGTTGAAATATTTGTATAGGGCCTGAGGTTACTATGCCTAGTGGATAAATTTATCCATTTCAGTTATTCTGGAAGTTTTTTCTTTCGATATTATGGTGCATTTTTCTTCTAGGAATCTGAGCTTGCACAGTTTTCCCAAGTCTCACAATAACTGATTCCTATACCTAACTTCTCCATTAGGCCTGGCCATTCCCCCAGCCTCAGGGCCAGGTGAATGGTTACCATGAAGTTTACCAGAGATCAGAATGCTGAAGCAAAGGAGCTGGGTGGTTTTGAAGACCCCTTTCTGAAATCTCCAGTTCCAGTTGGTTTTTAGGCAGCTGGCCTGAAATAGAAGAGGAAAATTTCCTTTTAATATCTTTGTGCAATGAATGTAGACAGAAAGTTTCTAACCAATTATCATTATATTGAGTTATCATCTTCCTGTTTCTACTGGGGGTCTGGCTCAAGCCCTTGGCCACCTTCTCTCTCTGTTCTGAGTCCCAATATTGCTAGACACTGTACCAAGATTTAAGGCTGATTTCATTTTTTCATTCAACAAATATTTATTGAGTAATTACTTTGTGCCACAATATTTTTCTTTTATGATACAAATTTTAATATGCACATAAGAAAATACCAAATGGTCAGTCACTCATCTTTAAGAACTGGTATGTCATACCCAGGAGTATTGTGGCACACAGAACCCCTGTCTGTCCTATGCACAGAGGATCAACAGTTCTGTCCCATGCCAGTACTGTTCTGTATTATTGAGCTGTGTTTTGTTTTTTTGACTTACCATTTGGCATATATCTGCAAATATTAATCAATGATTAATAGGTGTGTATATGTGCATGTACACATATATCTCAGGCTTATTCCCCTTGGATCTATTGCAAGTGTTATTTCTATGTTTTTGTTGGGATTTTACCAAACCTTTTAATATGTTAAAATGTTTTTAGACAAATAATTTCTGGAAATGTTCATCTTGTTCAACTCCCTCATGTTGCACATGAAAATATTGAAGGTTGGAGTGTTTAACATATCCAAAATGACAGCAGCAGAGCCTGACTTTGAAACAAGACCTTTTTGACACTCTACTTTTCTATGGTCATAAACCTACAAGCTTAAATATACATGTTGTGTTGTTGTTGAAGATGATAGAGTATGTGACATGACTATATCTAGATGCTGCAACATTTTCCCTCCAAAACCATCCCAACATCACCACAAATAGAAAAAACAATGCATTTGTTTTGTAGTGGAAGTTTTACTGCTCTTTTAGTCATATAGCTACTGAAAACCCCTATATAGAAATTCTGAATTGCTATAGACCAATTTCCAATGATAAATGATATAGGGTATATGGGGTGGTATGGAGTAGCGTGTGTGTGTGTGTGTGTGTGTGTGTGTGTCCATGTGTCCATGCACTACTAGCTATAGCCTAATCTGATAGTGGGGGGGGACATAACTGGAACCAGTGTAAGTAAAAAGATGACCCCTGATAATGGGGTCATGGTATGAAAAGCCTGGTACTTTTCCATTTTGGCATAGTCTGTGTTCTTATGAGCTAGGGCACTAATCAGCTGTCTTCTGCAGGACCTATTGTCAAATAGTGAGTATATGATAATGTTATGATTTATGATGCTGTTTATTTGCACAGGAGCTATAGCAATAATCCCTTAGTGGGAACTTAGCCCCATCAATTTCTCTGTTTTGTTTTTTTTTTAATATCTTGATTTCTATTCAGTACCCAAAGATACCACACCAGGTACTCCAACAGAAATCTTTAGATTGGGCCTGACTTCTCAAAGGGGGGTCACAAGCAAGAGACATTTTAAATAAATCTATGTTCATATTTCCCAACTTCCGCATGTATTCCTTCCTAAAACTGATCTAAATCATACCTTTTACTAATCTGACTTTCACTTATTAAGGGGCTTATGTGCATAAGTAAAAAGCAGTGGGGTAGGTATTGAGAGCTTGACTGTTCCTAGTAATGGTGTTACAAATGCTTTTCCAAGTGCATTGGTTTTGATGTCTCCTTTAATCACCTTTGATGGATGACCCAACTAAGTTGTCAGATACTAAATTATTGATTAAAATTCTGATGGTAAATCGCTATATAATTCTGGGCATATAACTTGGGAGAAGTTTAAAAAATGGAGAGACATTGCCATGTACAAGTTTTATTTCCATCTACTTATCATGTGAATGAATTTAAAATCCTTAAAACTGAAATAAGGAATAAGATTGATTTGTACTTATCTGATTATACCAATAAATAATATTCATCCACATGAATAAATAGGAAAAAATCCTCTCCTCATTTAGAGATACAGCGGCAATAGTATTTTAAATGAACATTGGCAGCTAAGAAGTGTTTTTTTGTGTGTGTGGATATGGAGGATGGCTGATGCTTAAAAATTTTCCTTTGAGTATTAATTTTCCACTGAAACTTCCTTGGGGTGGGCAGGCCTCACATCTGCTCCTATTCTACAATGTTGTCTTCAAATCAGTATTGAGGGCCTCCCCGGTGGCACAGCAGTTGAGCACTGGGTTGCGAAGCTGCCTGCAGCCTCTGCAGCGCCGGTTTGATCCCCGGCCACCGGGTGAGGGTCCCACATGGCACGCAGAACTCTCCTGCCACCCGCTGCTCTCCTCAGCAGTGCACTTTGTCACTCTGCCTGTTCTGCTCTCCGCTCTGGCTCTGGTGACTTCTCTTACCCTCCTGCGCTTCTGACTATACCCCAGTGCTTGTATAAATAAATAAAATAAATCTTAAAAAAAAAATTCAGTATTGGATCTAGGATGCTAAGAGGTCATGAACTGTGTACTTGTGTCGCTAAGCAAATTAATTAAGTGTTAGAACAAAAGGAAATGCCTCTCTAGGAGAAGTGATCATGTTCCCTGCTAATCTTCAGTTTAATGTTCTTTGGCAGCCTGTTTCAAATTGGAATTCACTGGAGGTTGTCCGAGACTAGGTAACTAGAACAATATCCTGAACCTGTGTAAACCTTCATTAAGCCTACACTGTGATTATTTTGATTTTTACCTTTCAAAAGAACTAAAAGTGATTGTGGGGTTAAGTGAAAGGTGGAGGAAAGTGGGAGGACCAAGTATCTTTCCCTGGAACTCATTTTGCATAAGAAAGAGTATCAGATGGCAATAGGAGCCCCTTGATTGTCAGTGTTCTGGGTGACTTACAGAGTTAATAAGAATGGTACCATGGAAAGATTCTGTTCATCTACCATGTTGTAGACCACAAGCTTGCATTTTCAGAGGCAGAATGTAATAATATCACTGCCTACATCCTTTGTCTTCTGCATAAACAGTGCCTGATTTTTCTCTTTGCTCTTCAGTTCATTCTTTTTTTTTTATGTATAATTTTTTTCTTCACTTTTTTTTTAAGATTTATTTATTTATTTATACAAGCACTGGGTACAGTCAGAAGCGCAGGAGGGTGAGAGAATTCACCAGAGCCAGAGGGGAGAGCAAAACAGGCAGACTGACGAAGTACACTGCTGAGGGGAGCAGCAGGCGGCAGGAGAGGTCTGCGCGCCATGTGGGACCCTCACCCAGTGGCCAGGGATCGAACCGGCACTGCAGAGGCTGCAGGCAGCTTTGCAGCCCAGCGCTCAACCGCTGCGCCACCAGGAGAGGCCCTCTTCAGTTCATTCTTAACTTCCTTTCCCCGCCTGTACTCTTTAGCCCTTTGCCCCACCATCCTTGTAACTTTACCATTGTTATCCTAATTACCAGCCTCAGTCTTGTTTCAGAATGCCAATGGAAGAACGTCTGAACATAAAGCAAAGGAGGTGATAGGGTAGGTTTCTTAACCCAGAACCCATGTGAAGGTCTGGGAACTTCTTGTGGTGGTCCACCAAACTTGGTGTTTATGTGAATGTTTGCATTTTTCTCTGGAAAGAGGAGTTGTACCTCTAAACTTTCAAAAAACTATGTCATCAAATATCTTTACATGCATCTGAAGTAGAGGTGGTTACCAAAGAGAAGAGAGTAATAACCGCTCATTCATTTAAGTTGACCAATTCATGACAAGTATGATATGCAAAAAATAAGACAAACATAATCTACCTCCCTATATCATCAGGGTTCAAAACGAGGACAGACTCAAACTCATTCCTCTTCTCTTCCCCCTCTTACCTGTCTCTCCCCCTCACCCATCCCCACAGATAATCCTTATTACAAGTATTGAAAAGTGTTCTAGAGTAAAGCACAGAAATGGGCAGACTGGGTACAAGGGCTGTTTTCTTTTGGTATTCCATAAGAAGCACTCAAAAAACAGTTTGGGATTTTGGACCTTGGGACTGTGTGAAATAGTTCAGCTGAGTTGTGGTAAAACTTACCTACACTATGTTAATGAATTCATGAATGCCTAGTTTTCCTTGGATCTTCCCTAAATAGCAAACCCTACTAAATCCCCAAGAATTTTCTCTTTGTCATAATAATAATGGCTGACATTGACTGATGAATAACTGTGCCAGGTTCAGATCTAAGTGCTTTCAGTGAAATCTCATTTAATCCTAATAATGACACAGTAGGTACTCCAATATCAGTCCCAGCAGACTCTTTGGGCTCAGAGAAAATTATAAATAGGAAAGCTGAAGATAAGAAGTTTTTCAACAGGAGAATTGTCCAGCTTTGTGTTCAGCCCAGAGAGGAGAGCAATCCTATAGACAGGGGTTGAAGGTTTGCCAAGATCTATTCAAGAGAGTCCCTGTGAGCCCTTGTAGGAAAAATAGCAACTATGGAGCCGTATGACAGGAGTTCAGATCCAGACAACATAAAGCCTAACAATGCACCCTTAGATAAACATCCAGTCTCTGTGAGGCAGAGTGCTTCATTTGCAGAATGGAAATAAATTGTAAGTTTGTAGGGAAGGTTAAAATGGACAGCAGGTTTTAAATTGCTTACTAACTCTAAAAGGCTATCCCACATAATTACTCTTCCTCACTTTCTGAATCTTTACCTGCCCAACTTAGCCATATACCACATCAACTCAGTTACTTCCCATAGGAAAGAAAAATGGACTTACCATCTCCTCTGCTACTTGGTTAACTTTATGCAGTGTGCCCAACCCAGACTTCTGATATATAGTCTTGCTACCTCCCCTCTGTGTCAGGCGTAGGAAAGCAACTTCCTATTCACTTTCCAGAAATTCACCACAGCCCTTCCCATAAAATTAGAATGTTGATAATACAGAAGCAATGCTGGCAACTTAGAAGTAGCAGTCACCGAGGTTAGCAGGGGGTCGTCTACTTCCTTTGGAGATGGTCTGGAGAGAAGGGCAAGTGTGAGTCACCCCTGAACATCCTAGACTGGCAAAGCAATGCAGGAATAATACTCAAACCCCAGGGGTCAAGTTTCCTTTGATTATGATATGAGACCCAATTTAAGGACATGTATTTGCAAAACATACTTAGTCTTAATCATAATGTTTGAGTGTAAATTTCCCAGTTATTGTGAAATCTCAGTGAATAAACATTCACTCTTATTTTAAGGGAAAGGACAGAAATAGTAATACAAATGTAGGAAAGGAAAAAGCCACTGAGGGGTTTCTGGCCATTGGGGGCAATTGTCGTGACAGTTTGGAAATGCTGTCTAAACAGACAAGGAGTATTATAAGAAGGTAACTTCTTCTGATATCAGAAAAAGAGATGTAAAAGTGGAAAGGTGAGTTTGTGGGGCTAGAAAGCTGTGAGACATGGTGGTTAAGACTTGGATTCCATCATTAAGTCACTGAGATCCAGCTTGGCTCCACATCTGGCTGTTCATTAGGCAACTTACATAAAATATCGATGCCTCTGTTTTATCATATATGAAACAGAATGACAATCACAGAACTTACATTATAGGGTTACCATATGATTACATGAGTTAATACAAGGAGAGTACTTGTAACAGTATCTGGCACACATTTGGCATTCAACAAATATTATTACTTATTATTATTATTAAGATCTGGTATCAGATAGCAAAATCAAGTGTCGACTCAGAAAACCCTAACTTTAATTTATCCTTTTGGAATTTTCATTGTGTGATAATGATATTATGCTTTATTCACTCCTTGATTGCTACAACTTGTAACAGGGATCTCATGGGTAGATTCAAAATGGAGTAAAATAGGAAGAAACACCAAAGATAAGGATGATTTCTTTAATGCTGCTTGGTAAGCATTTGCCATTAGGAACTTGGGATCCTAATAGAAATAGAAAGACTGGGGGAAAAGGTGATGTGGAAGGAATGATGGCAGGGTAACATAGGACAGTGAGGGAGAGGAAAGAATGGGGAACTGGGAGGTAGTGTGACAGCATGATTCAGAACCCAGCCCCTGGGGCCGGACTGCCTGGCTCTGCCACCTATCAGCTCTATGATTCAGCCAGTTACTATCCTCTGTGTGACTCAATTCCCTCAGCTACATTAATAAATAAGGATAATAGTATTCACTAAAAGCATAGAAGTGTTAAATTTTATGTTAAATTTCTTTTCTTTGAGCAATACCTGGCAAAATTGTTATGCTATTATTTTTGTAAGACCTACTTCCACTTCATTCTGTTCTAATTTTTAATCCCTAGACTTCTTTTTGCCATTGCCTCATAAAGAGAAAAATTTCTAAGGTGGATATGAGGGAGGTGCTATGTAGACTATAAATTCTTATGCATAATGTGTTTAATTTGGATAATATTAATTTTACTGAGTATGAGAGAAGCAGAAAAGAATTCCTAGAAATAGGAACGGGAACAAAATACCATTTGATTTTGTTTAAAAGTTATGGTTCAGACTAAATACTACTTGCTCATGTGGTATAATCTATGTGGAACATTAAGATTATTTTTATTGGGGCCTCCCTGGTGGTGCAGGCAGTTGAGCGCAGTGCTGTGAAGCCGTCCGCAGCCTCTGCAGTACCGGTTCGATCCCCACCGGCCTCGGAGCAACCCACATGGCGAGCAGACCTCTCCTGTCTCGCCCGCTGCTCCCCTCAGCAGTGTATTTCGTTAGTCTGCCTGTTCTGTTCCCCACTCTGTCTCTGGTGAATCCTCTCACCCTCTCGTGCATCTGGCCTGTACCCCAGTTCTTGCATAAATAAAATAAAATCTTAAAAAAAGGATTATTTTTATTATATTGCCCTTAAAAATATGATATATTTCCAATATGATTTAATTAGTTATGTTACTGATCTCTTTTGTATGTTTCTCATCTTTTGATAGTATATTATTAATTCCCCAGGGAGCAGGTACCCTCTCCTATATTAATCTTGCTTCTCCTGTAGTGTCTAGCAGAGGGCAAATAGAGAACAAACACCATTAACTCATTGATTAGATGAATGACTCTGGGTAGATACTATGAAAGTACTCCACTTTATCATCCTCTTTGAATTTTATTTATCTCATTACTGTGGTGCATTCATATATACAAGGATATTTAAAGATTGCTGGCACTAAGTATTTAATAATGAGCCAAACCCTCATGGAGTTCACAGTTATTTGTTGTTGCTGTTGTTTGGGGGGGGGTAGGTTATTAGCTATTAAATAAAAATCACATAAATAAATGAAGCAAAAATGTGGTCAGTGAAAGGCTATAATGGAACTTGACCTGAGCAGGTTTCCCTGAGGAGAATGACATCAGAACTAAGGGTCTTAATTTGAATAGCATGAACACACTGGGAGGGGAGAATATTCCAGGCCAGCCAAGGCTTCTTGGAGCAGTCTGGGCACCTTGTAGCAGTCACAGTGGCTAGAGGGCAGTGGAGACCGGGGAGATAGGGAGGATCCAGACCAAGCTGGGTCTCTTAGGTCATGCTAAGAGTGTATCTTCTTGTGTCATCAGAAGTCAGTGAATTCCTCAGGATGTTCAACCTGCACAGCTGGTCTGTCTATTCAGAGAAAATTCGAGAGTTTTCTACATAATAGGCTGAAGGATGACAAGTTACAATTTAAGAAAAAGCAAAACATATAGCTTTTTAGTCTCAATCTAATACATGCTCATTGTTAAAAGACAATGAAAATTGAGAAAATCACCCAAAATACTGTCAGTCTTGTGAGACTCACAATGTGCATTCTGTTTTAAAACCTGCTTTTTCTGTATGATGATATATCCTAAACCTTCCTGATACTTTGAAAGATATTTCTGCTGTAATTACAACTAACCCCTCCAGTATATAAGTAGATGTAAGTATTGATATAGTGATATTGTAAGTATTGATATAAGATGAAAAAATAAGGATAAATTCTACCTTCTCCCAGCTTAAATGGCCTCATCAAAACTTCCCAAAGGGAACCCTTTTGTCCTACAGAGCTGAAATGTCTGTCCCTCTCCTGATAGTTAACACAGTGATGGACAAAAATGTCAGCTTCCCCCATATAGCTCTGGGAATTTAATCTTACAATAGTTTTGGGAACTTTTAACTCTTCCTCCTGAAATTCTATTTAAGTTGGCCTGTGGTGTTAGGCACAAGCATTTCTTCTCTCTATCTTTGCTCTCCAGTTTTTGAAAGGGAAGGAAAAACAAGGAAATCAGTCATCTCGGCAAAGGTCTCAAACAGTAAACATGAGCTTTCAGAAAACTTTGCCCACATAACCTTAAATAGAAATGAATTCTTATAACATACCCTACATTATCATAGTTATGCCCACTCAACCCCGCCCAGGGATTTCTTCATTCATCCTACCCAGTCTCGTGAGGGCATACTCTGTGCTATTTTCCATGCTATACTCCAGAAACAAAGAGATGAACAAGACACAGTTCCTGGTATAGAAAGTGATCACATATGAACAATATGAGGAGGCAGTATACACATATGTTCTTGTTTTGTCCTCCACAAGAGGACAAACAACTAACTCAGTGTGATGGTGAAGAAGTGATCAAGGAAGAGCATTTAGAGGAAAGAAGTTTTGAGTGTAGTAAGTAGATTCTTTTGTGCATGCTCAGTAATTAAATATGCATATATGGAGAATACTCTAAATTCATCAGATAAATTAGGAAGTGGTTTTTCACATTAAAAGTATTTTAACTCAGGCCTCCCCTGAAGGCGCAGGTGTTTGAGTGCCATGCTGTGAAGCTGTCCAGCAGACTCTGCAGCACCAGTTCGATTCTGGGTCCCACATGGCGTGGCAGACCTCTCCTGTCGTGCCTGCTGCTCTCATCAGCAGTGCATTTCGTTAGTCTGCCTGTTCTGTTCCCCACTCTGTCTCTGGTGAATCCTCTCACCCTCCTGTGCATCTGGCCTGTACCCCGGTTCTTGTATAAATAAATAAATAAATCTTTAAAAAAAAAGTATTTTAACTCTTCCAAAAGCATGTTAGTTCTGGGAGAATTCAGTTGTACCTCCCTGACCTGAAAGCCCCTGAGTGAATCCTACAAATAAATAGGATATTTCAAAATTGACATGGATGCTTATGATTGCTTCCTTTTCCTGATATACCTTGATTGTCAAAATGGGTAATTTATTGAAATTCATATAAACTCCTGCTGTGATATTAAACAATAAATTATAATAAAACAAAAGATCAGAAAAATAGCAACTGTATAAAGTAACTTAGCTGGAAGTAATTAAATCAAGTTCATTTTTTTAAAAATCTTCAAATAAGTGTATGATTCTGGCTCCTGTTAAAAGGGGCATTGTCTTACCAGGAGGTGTAATAGTCTCCAAGGGATTTGTTTTCCTTCTAACAATGAAAAGACAGGAAAGGGCATAATTTGAGATTTTAATTTGTGTGAATTTAATACTTTTTATATTTAAATTATGCTTAGTAAGTGTTCACCTCTTTTTAGAGTGAGAGTTTATTGTTTCACAATTTATTAAACTAAAACTAAAATTTTGTTGATCATCAATCAATGTAATTCATCAAAACAAATTTCCACAAGAAACATCTTTTTCTAAAATGAAATATAAAAGTTAATATAGTCTCTTTTAGAAGATCCATGCTATTCAGAAAGAAAAAAGAAGTAAAAACCATCCATTATATCACTATTATAGCATCATGCAGGAATCTTTAATTCAATATTCACAAATACACTTTCAGCATAAATAATTTCCAATTTTAGTTTT